CCCTTTGCCCGCGGACATGCCGTTTTAGGTAGAAAATGCGTTTGCTGCCCTTTAAAAATCCATTATCTGGGAAGGGTTGACAGCCCTTGGGGCTGGGTCCTGTGGGCCCCCCCCGCAAACAATCTTCTGCAAGTATAGGGGGTTTAGGCAAGTTTTATAGTTTTCAAAATTTCAGCCGCTGGCAAGCAGTTTTGATTCGAAAATACCCTTTTAGGGTTTGGTTTGCTTTTTTTTTTGAATATTTGGTAAGTGTCAAAATGTGTGGGGTGGTGTTCCAACCAAAAGTTTCATTTTATTTTACAAGGGAAATTCCCTTTTTGCATCTGTGTGGGGGGCTATTTAAAAGTATTTGTTAAAACCCAAAAAAATTTTACAATACTAAACTTTGCTTTTTTGGGGGTCAGTATTTCAGGGGCTATTTGTTTATTCCCCACAATTATTGATTTCTTTTTAAGATTAAAAAAAATTTTTAGGTTGGAAAAACCCCTAGGGGGCCCCCCCCAATTTTTGGAAACAAAAAATTTTCTCCCCTGTGCAGGCACTTTTTGTGTTCCTTTATCCAGCGGGGTACCCCCCTTTTTCCGCTGGCATGCCCCTGCAGGGAGAAAACTGCGTTTTCTGCCCAAAAAACCCCTTATCTTTCCGGACAGGGTTGACAGCCATTTTACTGATCCAGAACTGGCCCGAAAAACCCCTCTTCTGCAAAATATAGTGGGTTTAGTCAAGTTTTTTATAGTTTCAAGGTTTTAGCCCCTGGCAAGCAGGTTTAAGATTCGAAGTACCCTTTTGGGATGGTTCGTTTTTTATTTGAATATTGGATAAGTTTTCAAAAATTGTGTTTCGGGTGGTTGTTCACCTACAATAGTTGCATTTATTCAAGGAATTCCTTTCGAGCATCTGTGAGGGGGCCCCATTTTAAAAGTTTTTAGAAATTTCCCAAATTTTTGTACAAATACAAACTTTGTTTTTTGGGCGTCAGTATTTCAGTCTTTTTGTTTATTCGCACCAAATTTTTGCATTTTTTAAGATTAAAAAATAAATTTTCAGGATTAACCCTTCGGTCCCTACATTTTTTTGGGAAAAAAACAAATTACCCATGTGCACACTTTTGGTTCCCGTCCGGGCTACCCTTTTTCCCGTGGACCCTGCCCTTTCAGGTAGAAGCTGGGTTTGGCTGCTAAATCCCTTATTGGGCCCGGGAAAGGGGGGACGCCCTTGAATTATCCAGAACTGGCCCCCCAACACAAAATTTTTTCAAATATAGTCGGGTTTAGTAAAATATTTATAATTTGGAAGTTTCAAACCCCCTGGCCCAAACAGTTAAAATTCGAAGTTCCCTTTTTGGGAAGGGTTTCGCTTTTTTTGGTTTTTTGGGTAAGTGTCAAAATGGGGTTGGGGGGGGGGTTCACATTCCCAAAAAGTTGCATTTTATTCACCGGAATTCTTTCGAGAATTTTGTGTGGGGCCCCCATAAAGTTTTAGGAAATTCCCAAATATTTTACAAATTTCTAAATTTTCTTGTTGACGTCCAGATTTCAGTTAAAATGTTTATTTGCACACATTTTTGGGATTTCTTTTTAAGGAAAATAAAAAATTTCAGGATGAACCCCTTCGGTCCCTCCAATTTTTAGGAAAAACAACAACTTTCTCCTTGTGCCCGGCACTTTTTGTGGTTTGATTTCCGGGCTACCCCTTTTTCCCGTTGGGCATGCCGTTTCAGGGAGGAAACTGCCCTTTGCCCGCTAAACTCCAAATTATCTGCCGGACAGGGGGGAAAAGCCCTTTACTGATCCAGAACTGGCCCCAAACCCAAAATTTCTGCAAGTATAGTTTGAGTTTTGTAAATTTTTTTTAGTTTCAAATTTCAGCCCCTGGCAAAACAGTTAAAATTTTGAAGTCCCCTTTTTTGGGGTGGGTTTGCTTTTAAATTTTAAAATTGGTTAAATGCCCAAAATGTGGGCGGGTGGTGTTTCCCTACAATAGGTTTAATTTTTATTACAGGAATTTTTTTGAGATCTGTGATGGGACCTCATAAACGTTAGTAATACCAATTAAATTTTAAAATACTAAACTTTGTTGTTGACGTTTAGTATTTTAGTCTATTAAATTTTTTCCCCACACATTATTTTATTTTATTTTTAAAATTTAAATAATTTCAGGATGAACCCCCTTTTGGGCCTCCAATTTTTTTTTTTTGGGGAAAAAACAAATTTTCCCTGTGCAAACACCTTTTTTTGGTTTTTCCCGATCCAGGGTCCCTTTTAAGGGTGGACATGCCCGTGCAGGGAGAAGCTGCGTTTTTGTTTTCTAAACTCCCTTATTGCCGGACGGGGGGACAAGCCCTTTTACTGATCCAGGGGGAATGGGCCCCGCCAAAAACAAACTTTTGCAAGTATTGTCGAGGTTTTTGTCAAGTATTAAAAGTTTCAAGTTTCAGCCCTGGCAAGCAGTTTAAATTCGAAAAATTCCCTTTTTTTTGGGTGGTTCGCTTTTTATTTTAATATTGGATAAGTGTCAAAGTGTGTGCGGGGTTTGGGGGTTCACATACTTTTGTTGCATTTTATTCAAGGGAAATTTCCCTTTTGGGTCTTGTGGTGGGGCCTATAAACGTTTTTAGTAATTCCCCAAAATTTTTTACAAAATACTAAACTTTTCCCTTTTTGGGCGTCAGTATTTTGTCTTTTTGTTTATTGACCATTATTTCATTTTTTTCTAAGATTAAATAAAAATTTTTGGAGAAAACCCCCGGTCCCTTTCCAAAATTTTTTTGGGAAAAAAACAACTTACTTTCCCTGTGGGAGGCCCCTTTGTTTTTTCCCATCCAGGGCCCCTTTGCCCGCGGTCCCTGCCGTGCAGGTTAGAAAAATGCGTTTTGCTAAAAATTCCATTTTTCTGCCCCGGGCAGGGGACAGCCATTGGGGTGATCCGAGACTGGGACCCGCAAAAAAATCTTCGCAAGTATAGTCGGTTTGTTAAGTATTTATAGTTTTCAAATTTTTAGCCCCGGCAAACGTTTTTTATTCCGGAAAGTACCCCTTTTGGGGGTGGTTCGCTTTTTTTTTTTGGAAAATTGGATAAGTGGGCAAAAAGGGGTGCGGGGGTTTTTCAAAAACAAAGTTTTCTTTAAATTTAGGAAATTTCCCTTTTGGATCTGTGTGGGGGCCTCATAAAAGTATTTGTAATACCCAATTTTTGTTTCAAAAACTAAATTTGGGGGGTTTTTTTACGTCAGTATTTTAGTCTTTTTGTTTATTTTGCCCCCTTTTATTGTTCATTTTTAAGATTAACATAAAAATTTTAGGGTGAAACCCCTTTGGTCCTCCCTTTTTTTAAAAAAAAACAATTACTTTCCCTGTGCAGGCACTTTTGTGTTTCCCGATCCAGGGCTTTCCCCTTTGCCGTGGAAAAATTTCCAGGGGCGGTTTGAAGCTGCGTTTGCTGCTAAAATTTCCCTTATCTTTCCGGCAGGGTTGATGCCAATTTACTGATTCCAGAATGGGCCCCGCAACACAAAACTTCTGCAAAGGAAAAGTCGAGTTTAGTCAAGTATTTTTGTTGCAAGTTTCAGCCCCTGGGCCAAACAGTTTTAAAATTCGAAGTACCCTTTTAGGGTGGTTCCCTTTTTTTTTTTGAATATTGGGTAAGTTTTTTCAAAGTGTGTGCGGGTGGGGTTCAATACTATAGTTGCTTTTTATTCACAGGAATTTTTTTGAGCATCTGTGTGGGGGCCTCATAAAGTATAGTAATTTCCAATTTTGTACAAATACTAAACTTTGCCCTTTTTGACGTCAGGTTTTTAGTTTTTGTTTATTCGCAACCATTATTTTTTTTTTCTATGATTAACATTAAAATTTAGGGGTGAACCCCTTCGGTCCTCAATGTTTAGGAAACAACAAAATTAAATCCCTGTGCAGGCACTTTTGTGTTCCCGATCCAAAAGGGGTACCCCTTTGGCCGTGGACATGCGTGCAGGGAGAGCTGCGTTTTCTGGTTTAAAATCCCTTAACTGCGGAAGGTTGACAGCCATTGCCTTTATCCAAAAGACTGGCCCGAAAAACAATCTTTGAAAGTATTGGCGAGTTTAAATCAAGTATTTATTGGGCCCAAATTTTAGCCCCTGGCAAGAAGGTTTAAAAATTTGAAGTACCCTTTTAGGGGGTGGTTCGTTTTTTTATTTTAATATTGGATTTAAATGTCCCAAAAAAGTGTGGGGTGGTGTTCACATACAATTGTTGCATTTCATTACAGGGAATTCTCCTTTCGCGCATCTGTGATGGTGACCTCATAAACGTATCGTAATACCAATTAATTGTAACAAATACTAACTTTGCTTGTGTTGACGTCAGTATCTTCAGTCAATGTTTATCGCACAACTTTAATGCAAATTCTAGATTAACTTAATAATTTCAGGATGAACTCCCTTCGGTCCCTCCAATTTTTTAGGAAACAACAACTTACTCCATGTGCAGTCACTTTCTTGTGTCCTGATCCAGAGGCTACCTCTTTGTCAGCTGGACATGCCGTGCAGGTAGAAGCTGCGTTTGCCTGCTAAACTCCATTGATCTGCCGGACAGGCTTGACAGCCACTTGACTGATCCAGATACTGGCCCGCAACACAATCCTTCCTGCAAGTATAGTCGAGTTTAGTCAAGTATTTATAGAACTGCAAGTTTCAGCCGCTGGCAAGCAGTTTAAGATTCGAAGTACCCTTTTAGGGATGGTTCGCTTTTATTTGAATATTGGATAAGTGTCAAAGTGTGTGCGGGTGGTGTTCACATACAATAGTTGCATTTCATTCACAGGAATTCCTTTCGAGCATCTGTGATGGGACCTCATAAACGTATAGTAATACCAATTATTGTACAAATACTAAACTTTGCTTGTTGACGTCAGTATTTCAGTCTATGTTTATTCGCACACATTATTGCATTTCTAAGATTAACATAAATTTCAGGATGAACCCCTTCGGTCCCTCCAATTTTTAGGAAACAACAACTTACTCCATGTGCAGTCACTTTCTTGTGTTCCTGATCCAGAGGCTACCTCTTTGTCAGCTGGACATGCCGTGCAGGTAGAAGCTGCGTTTGCTGCTAAACTCCATTGATCTGCCGGACAGGCTTGACAGCCACTTGACTGATCCAGATACTGGCCCGCAACACAATCTTCTGCAAGTATAGTCGAGTTTAGTCAAGTATTTATAGAACTGCAAGTTTCAGCCGCTGGCAAGCAGTTTAAGATTCGAAGTACCCTTTTAGGGATGGTTCGCTTTTATTTGAATATTGGATAAGTGTCAAAGTGTGTGCGGGTGGTGTTCACATACAATAGTTGCATTTCATTCACAGGAATTCCTTTCGAGCATCTGTGATGGGACCTCATAAACGTATAGTAATACCAATTATTGTACAAATACTAAACTTTGCTTGTTGACGTCAGTATTTCAGTCTATGTTTATTCGCACACATTATTGCATTTCTAAGATTAACATAAATTTCAGGATGAACCCCTTCGGTCCCTCCAATTTTTAGGAAACAACAACTTACTCCATGTGCAGTCACTTTCTTGTGTTCCTGATCCAGAGGCTACCTCTTTGTCAGCTGGACATGCCGTGCAGGTAGAAGCTGCGTTTGCTGCTAAACTCCATTGATCTGCCGGACAGGCTTGACAGCCACTTGACTGATCCAGATACTGGCCCGCAACACAATCTTCTGCAAGTATAGTCGAGTTTAGTCAAGTATTTATAGAACTGCAAGTTTCAGCCGCTGGCAAGCAGTTTAAGATTCGAAGTACCCTTTTAGGGATGGTTCGCTTTTATTTGAATATTGGATAAGTGTCAAAGTGTGTGCGGGTGGTGTTCACATACAATAGTTGCATTTCATTCACAGGAATTCCTTTCGAGCATCTGTGATGGGACCTCATAAACGTATAGTAATACCAATTATTGTACAAATACTAAACTTTGCTTGTTGACGTCAGTATTTCAGTCTATGTTTATTCGCACACATTATTGCATTTCTAAGATTAACATAAATTTCAGGATGAACCCCTTCGGTCCCTCCAATTTTTAGGAAACAACAACTTACTCCATGTGCAGTCACTTTCTTGTGTTCCTGATCCAGAGGCTACCTCTTTGTCAGCTGGACATGCCGTGCAGGTAGAAGCTGCGTTTGCTGCTAAACTCCATTGATCTGCCGGACAGGCTTGACAGCCACTTGACTGATCCAGATACTGGCCCGCAACACAATCTTCTGCAAGTATAGTCGAGTTTAGTCAAGTATTTATAGAACTGCAAGTTTCAGCCGCTGGCAAGCAGTTTAAGATTCGAAGTACCCTTTTAGGGATGGTTCGCTTTTATTTGAATATTGGATAAGTGTCAAAGTGTGTGCGGGTGGTGTTCACATACAATAGTTGCATTTCATTCACAGGAATTCCTTTCGAGCATCTGTGATGGGACCTCATAAACGTATAGTAATACCAATTATTGTACAAATACTAAACTTTGCTTGTTGACGTCAGTATTTCAGTCTATGTTTATTCGCACACATTATTGCATTTCTAAGATTAACATAAATTTCAGGATGAACCCCTTCGGTCCCTCCAATTTTTAGGAAACAACAACTTACTCCATGTGCAGTCACTTTCTTGTGTTCCTGATCCAGAGGCTACCTCTTTGTCAGCTGGACATGCCGTGCAGGTAGAAGCTGCGTTTGCTGCTAAACTCCATTGATCTGCCGGACAGGCTTGACAGCCACTTGACTGATCCAGATACTGGCCCGCAACACAATCTTCTGCAAGTATAGTCGAGTTTAGTCAAGTATTTATAGAACTGCAAGTTTCAGCCGCTGGCAAGCAGTTTAAGATTCGAAGTACCCTTTTAGGGATGGTTCGCTTTTATTTGAATATTGGATAAGTGTCAAAGTGTGTGCGGGTGGTGTTCACATACAATAGTTGCATTTCATTCACAGGAATTCCTTTCGAGCATCTGTGATGGGACCTCATAAACGTATAGTAATACCAATTATTGTACAAATACTAAACTTTGCTTGTTGACGTCAGTATTTCAGTCTATGTTTATTCGCACACATTATTGCATTTCTAAGATTAACATAAATTTCAGGATGAACCCCTTCGGTCCCTCCAATTTTTAGGAAACAACAACTTACTCCATGTGCAGTCACTTTCTTGTGTTCCTGATCCAGAGGCTACCTCTTTGTCAGCTGGACATGCCGTGCAGGTAGAAGCTGCGTTTGCTGCTAAACTCCATTGATCTGCCGGACAGGCTTGACAGCCACTTGACTGATCCAGATACTGGCCCGCAACACAATCTTCTGCAAGTATAGTCGAGTTTAGTCAAGTATTTATAGAACTGCAAGTTTCAGCCGCTGGCAAGCAGTTTAAGATTCGAAGTACCCTTTTAGGGATGGTTCGCTTTTATTTGAATATTGGATAAGTGTCAAAGTGTGTGCGGGTGGTGTTCACATACAATAGTTGCATTTCATTCACAGGAATTCCTTTCGAGCATCTGTGATGGGACCTCATAAACGTATAGTAATACCAATTATTGTACAAATACTAAACTTTGCTTGTTGACGTCAGTATTTCAGTCTATGTTTATTCGCACACATTATTGCATTTCTAAGATTAACATAAATTTCAGGATGAACCCCTTCGGTCCCTCCAATTTTTAGGAAACAACAACTTACTCCATGTGCAGTCACTTTCTTGTGTTCCTGATCCAGAGGCTACCTCTTTGTCAGCTGGACATGCCGTGCAGGTAGAAGCTGCGTTTGCTGCTAAACTCCATTGATCTGCCGGACAGGCTTGACAGCCACTTGACTGATCCAGATACTGGCCCGCAACACAATCTTCTGCAAGTATAGTCGAGTTTAGTCAAGTATTTATAGAACTGCAAGTTTCAGCCGCTGGCAAGCAGTTTAAGATTCGAAGTACCCTTTTAGGGATGGTTCGCTTTTATTTGAATATTGGATAAGTGTCAAAGCTTGTGCGGGTGGTGTTCACATACAATAGTTGCATTTCATTCACAGGAATTCCTTTCGAGCATCTGTGATGGGACCTCATAAACGTATAGTAATACCAATTATTGTACAAATACTAAACTTTGCTTGTTGACGTCAGTATTTCAGTCTATGTTTATTCGCACACATTATTGCATTTCTAAGATTAACATAAATTTCAGGATGAACCCCTTCGGTCCCTCCAATTTTTAGGAAACAACAACTTACTCCATGTGCAGTCACTTTCTTGTGTTCCTGATCCAGAGGCTACCTCTTTGTCAGCTGGACATGCCGTGCAGGTAGAAGCTGCGTTTGCTGCTAAACTCCATTGATCTGCCGGACAGGCTTGACAGCCACTTGACTGATCCAGATACTGGCCCGCAACACAATCTTCTGCAAGTATAGTCGAGTTTAGTCAAGTATTTATAGAACTGCAAGTTTCAGCCGCTGGCAAGCAGTTTAAGATTCGAAGTACCCTTTTAGGGATGGTTCGCTTTTATTTGAATATTGGATAAGTGTCAAAGTGTGTGCGGGTGGTGTTCACATACAATAATTGCACTTCATTTACAGGAATTCCCTCTGAAAATTTAGGGGGGCCCCAAAAAATATTCCAAATTTAAAAAATTACAAATTTCAACCCGGAATTTTTCATGAATTCCCCAACCCGGAAATTTACAAAAATTCCCAAAATTTCAAAGAAACCCCCCCCCCTTTTTTAAAAAAACCTTCTTTCCTGTCATCACTTTTTTGGTTTCCCTCCGGGGGATCTTTTTTCCCCTAGGAGAAGGCTTTTCCAAACCCCAAGATTGCAAAGGGGAACCACTTTTCTATCCTCTGGGCCCCAAAAACCCCCTCCCAAAAAAAGGGAAAAAAAAGGGGAAAACCCCCAAGGGTTTTTTACCCCCAAGGGGTTTTAAAATTTTTCGGGGGGTACCTTTTTGGTTTGCTTTTATTTTATATTATAATTTCAAAGGGGGGGTTTGGGGTTTTACAAATTCCTTTTTTAAGGGAACCTTTCGGGGGCCTTCTTTTTTGGGGGTCCCTTCGTTATATCAATTTTTCCCTTTCCGGCAAAAACAAAATTTTTTTTGTTTTTTTCTGTTTTTATTAAAGGGGTTTTTGCCAATTAATTTCATTTTAAATTTTAAAATTTTTTGGGTTTTCCCCTTGGGGATGAAATTTTTAAACAAAATTTTTGGAATATTTTTTTTTATCCGGGGCCCCTTTTTTCGTGGGGTTATATAAACTTTCTTTCCTTTTAAACCCTTTTTCTCCAAAGGTTTACCGGATTGGTATCCCGTTTTTGGGGGAAAAATTTTAGTAAATTTTAGTTTTCAAATAAATAAATGCAATTTAGGTGGGAAAAATTTAAAATTGAAATATTTTAGGGATGGGTTTTGGGTTTTATTTAAATTGGTAAATGTAAATTGTGCTGTTTTAATACTAGTTGATTTATTAACAGGTTCCTTTAGAAATTTTAGGGGTATAAAAGTAATTTTACCTTTTTGTAAAATAAATTTGCTGGGTTTAGTTTATTTAGTTTTGTAGCAAATTATTGCTATTTTGTTTCATAAATTGCAGGGATTAATTGGGACTAAATTTTTAGGAAAAAAAAATTACTGTGTACGCCCTTTTTGTGCCCGAAAAGAGGTATTTTGTCTGTAATTTTATAGAAACTGGGTTTGTGCTTTTAAATTTATTGCCGGGGGCAAAAATTTAAAGCCAGTTAATTAGTAGGGGAAAAATTTCTAAAATAGCGAATTTTTAATTTTTAGTTTTAATTTAGCCTAAATGCTTAAAAAATTAATTTCCCTTTTGGGGGGTTATTTTTTTTTAATAGGGGTAAATGTAAAAAATTGTGCGGGGTTTTTGTTACATTTTAAAAAAAATTATTAAAATTTTAGGAATTCCCCCCCATTTAATATTCCAAAAATTTCCCCCTTTTAACAACAAGGAATTACAGGAAATTTCCCGGAAACTTTTCCCCAAAAAGGATTTCCCCAACCCCGGAATTAAAGGTTTGGAACCCCCATTACCCCAAAAAACCCTTTCCTCTGTAAATTAATTTATTTCCGGGTTTTAAAGGGGTCAAACTCCCCCCCGAATTTAGAAGATAAGTTTCTGTGGGGAAAAGGAAAAACCCCCCAAAAAAGGGAAAAAAAGGGAACTCCCCCCAAAAAGGTTTCTTTTTTGCCCCAATAAAAGGAAAAAGGTTAAATCTGGGTTCTTTAAGGGTTTCCCCCAATTTTAAAAAGGGTTTTCCCCTAGGAACCTTTTGGGAAACCTAAGTTTTGGGAACCAAGGTAAACTATTCCCCTTGCTATCATATAACAATCACTACAACTGTTTCACTGGTTACTTTGGTAATCAGTTATCAGCAATAAGTAAATAATAATTAGTAATCAGTTTTCAGTAATCGGATAATAGCAATTAGTAGCTAGTAATTAGTAGCTAGTAGCTAGTAATTAGTAGCTAGTAATTAGTAGCTAGTTATAATTAGTAGCTAGTAATTAGTAGCTAGTAATAATTAGTAGCTAGTAGATGTTATTAGTACTAGTAGCTAGTAATTAGTAGCTAGTAATTAGTAATTAGTAGCTAGTAATAATTAGTAGCTAGTAGATGTTATTAGTACTAGTAGCTAGTAATTAGTAGCTAGTAATTAGTAGCTAGTAATTAGTAGCTAGTAGCTAGTAATTAGTAGCTAGTAATTAGTAGCTAGTAATTAGTACTAGTAGCTAGTAATTAGTAGCTAGTAATTAGTAGCTAGTAATTAGTAGCTAGTAATTAGTACTAGTAGCTAGTAATTAGTAGCTAGTAATTAGTAGCTAGTAGCTAGTAATTAGTAGCTAGTAATTAGTAGCTAGTAATTAGTACTAGTAGCTAGTAATTAGTAGCTAGTAGCTAGTAATTAGTAGCTAGTAGCTAGTAATTAGTACTAGTAGCTAGTAATTAGTAGCTAGTAGCTAGTAATTAGTAGCTAGTAGATGTTATTAGTACTAGTAGCTAGTAATTAGTAAATGTCCAGCACTTACCCCCCTCATTGACCATGATTTCAATATCCTCCTTGTACCACGAGACAGAGGCAGCACTAACAGCTCCATTTGCAGTGAACTTGCAAGTGAACGTAGAGTCCCCCACCCCGGAGGTGAAGGTTTGTACTATTACCGGGGAAACGCTTTCCTCTGTAACAGTTATATGTTATTTCGCTTAATAACGCACTCAATACTCATCAAGATTGAAGAGAGATGGAGTTTGTGTAGAATAAGAAAAAGCCAGAATAGTAGAAAGCGAGCTGCACAAGGTAACTAATGCAACTAAGGCAACTAAGGTAACTATAAGGTTACTTAGGTTACTAAGGTAACTAAGGTAACCTAGGTAACTAAGGTAACTAAGGTAACCTAGGTAACTAAGGTAACCTAGGTAACTTAGGTAACCTAGGTAACTAAGGTAACCTAGGTAACTAAGGTAACCTAGGCAACTAAGGTAACTAAGGTAACTAAGGTAACTATAAGGTTACTTAGGTAACTAAGGTAACCTAGGTAACTAATGTTACTTAGGTAACTAAGGTAACTAAGGTAACCTAGGTAACTAAGGTAACTAAGGTAACCTAGGTAACTAAGGTAACCTAGGTAACTTAGGTAACCTAGGTAACTAAGGTAACTAGGATAACTAAGGTAACCTAGGTAACTAAGGTAACTAAGGTAACCTAGGTAACTAAGGTAACCTAGGTAACTTAGGTAACCTAGGTAACTAAGGTAACTAGGATAACTAAGGTAACCTGGGTTACTAAGGTAACTAAGGTAACTAGGGTAACTAAGGTAACCTGGGTTACTAAGGTAACTAAGGTTACTTAGGTAATCCGGTAACCTAGGTGACAAACTAACACGCTTACCGACTACAATCATTTGCATTTCTTTGGTGTACGTGACTCCCCCTATGCTCGACTCACATTTCCAATATATATCTCCCAGTGACACTGAGGATGTGTAATTTAGTTCAACAAGCAACATTAAAGAAGTCAACTTTTTATCATAGTATGATAATGTGGTTTCATTATTTTCCTAATTTTAAGCTATTTCAACCAGTTAATACTCAAATAACTTTGGTCTAAAGATAACATAAAAAGATAAAATAGTAATTATTAGTAAATAGTAATAATTAAATAGTAATAAGAAAATAGTAATTAGTAAATAGTAATTAGTAAATAGTAATTAGTAATTAATAAATAGTAATTAGTAAATAGTAATTAGTAAATAGTAATCACAGTGCTGGCAAGCATGACTGTGCCTTTTAAGCTTTTATATTCACTATACTATTTACCCCCTTCACTATTATACTCCCTTTACTATTTACCCCCTTTATTATTTTTCAGGCATTAAGACTATTCGGAAATCGTTCAGAAAGTTTATTTTTAGTTCAAAACATTCTCATTCAATGTCAAAGATGACAGGAATAAGAAATATTTATGTAAAGATTTTTAAGAAATTCGCATAATATACGCGCGCAGTAGTGTTATACAGTTATACAAAAATCGGTAAAAAACCCAAAATCGCCATATTCAGGTGCCTTAAAAACCATGTTAAAATTGAGCTAGAGATCTGAAATTTTGCAGAGCGTCTAGATGTTGACCAAATCGACTGCAAAAAACGTTTCAAGATTCAATAGTATCGGGAAGTGGGTTTTCTGGAACCCCTGTTTTACGATAGATTGCTGTGATATATACATTTATTATATAGATATATTCAGGGAATATAGACGCTTTGGCAGTCAATTATAGCCTATATTTAACTATTTAAGTGTCCGTAGATTCAAAAGCTTTAAACTTTTAAAGATTTTTTCATTTTCACCCTTTTGTAAAAAGGCAATAGTGAATTTCTTGAATTACAGATACAAGTTAAGTTCTACGGCAATTGAACTGAATTTCAAGTGTTTCCCGTATTTGATGCATAATTTATCAATATTATAATCATGAAAGTGAGCTGATTGGAGCTTATACCTAAATTTATAGTAAATGTGGAATGGAAATCTAGCGTCCGCCAAAACGAAACAATGGGCGCAATTTTTGTTTTCTTTATAGAGCTGCGAGCTATATATGTCCAGGTTCATTATCTTACTTATAATTCAGAGAATTATTTTAGCTGTCTGTAGAATGTATACGTCTGTACGACCGCCCACGTGCAAATTAGATGAAAATAAGTAGTTGCATAGTAACCATGGTAACAAGGATTGCTACACGCACGTGCACGTGCAAAGATTGGCGAGCGACATTTTGATCAGTTTTGATGTAATTACGTTGTGTTCAGTGCGAACTACATTTTAATCGGCTGTATCTTCGGTTGTGACGGATGTTTTTTAATGCGATAAAAACTGATTACAAAAGAAAACTATTAGCTTCCTCCCTGTGACTACAGGTTTTTTAGTCTTACTTATAATTCAGAAAATTATTTCTGCTGTATAAAAAAATGTATGTACGACCGCCCACGTGCAAACTAGATAAAAAATAAGAATTTCGGTAACAATCAAAAGGTTCCAATTTCCATAGCAACGGTGTTTTAATGCACACATGCACGTGCAAAGATTGTTTTAACGTCATTTTTTATCGGTTTTGTGGTAATTACGTTGTGTTTAAAGTTTTTATATTTAAATCGGCTGTATCTTCGGTTGGGATGGATCTTTTTTGATGCGATTAAAAATTTCTTTCAAATAATACTTTTAGCTTCATCCCAGTTACCACGGGCTTTCTAGTCTATATTATAATTCAGTGAATTATTTTTGCTGATGTACGACCGCCCACGTGCAAATTCGGTAAAAAGCAAAAAGTTGCAAAGTAACCATGGTAACGAAGGTTGTTACAGGCACGTGCAAAGATTGTTAGAACGGCATTTTTATCGGTTTTGTTGATATTACGTTGTGTTTAGTGCGAGCAACATTTTGATCGGCTGTATCTTTGGTTGTGTAGGATTTTTTTTTATGAAAATCTTTTCAAAATTTACATACAATATAACATGTGGCGCAAAATAAAATCAAAATATAACTGATTGCGATCTCTAAAGGACAGATGTATGTAAATTTCAAAGGGAAACCAGAACGCAGTAAAATTGTAGTCGAAACCACACCGCACAAGCCTAGTCCCTGGTAAATGAAAATCAATCAAATAATATGTTGATAAAAAATCATATCCCATCAGTCCTTCTCGGAGCTTACGATCTTATTGTTCCTTACAACATGAACTCGCTGAGGCTCCAATTCCCGTTTCTGCTTAACTTCAAGAACTAACTTCCTGAAGGCAGCTCTCTGCTCGGCTGATCGGTCGGGGCTGATGTACACTGAGTCATACCCCTCCACTTCTCTTAGTTTTCTCGCTTTGCTCAACACTCGCCGCACATGATCTGAGCCGCTGAGAGTGAACTTGATAGGTTTAACGGCTGGTCCTCCATCTGATACAGTTCTCCCCATCCTACAGCAAGAAACGATTCGAGGTTTCTCATCTATGTTTTCTAGTACCTCAAGCACTCTCTTTTCCAGGATTTCTTCACTCTTTTCTGGTAGACCGTAGATGACCAGATTTTGACTACGATCCTCTTCCTCGGAGGCACGTTTCAGAGCAGCTTTCATTTTCTTAGGCGCTAGCGCCTTGCTGCATGAATTCTTCACAACTGACGACCAGGATTTGAGTTCGCTTTTCACTGTCGTCTGAATAGAGGTCAAATCTTCACTTTTCTTCTCAAGCAATTGTCCTTGCAGTTTAATCACAGTGTTCTGATCTGCAATCTTTTCGTCCTTCAGTTGGTCGATTTCATCTTGTAGTTTGGTGGCTGAAAACAACAGCGGTGAACAATAACTGTCGAGAATGTCGATAAGAGTTTCCATCCAATCACACAGTATAGCCTTGGTGATCTGAGGCTTGTTGAGCGTTTCTTTACGTAACACATTGGATTTCTGAACACCTGCCGCTTGACGCATATCGTTGAGTAGCATAATCTGAGCACCCAAAATCTGTTCAGCATACATTGATCTGAATTTGAGTGTAGAGTAATTCATCGCTATTTCATTGTCAAGATTCTCCAAGTATTTGTTAACCATGATGTACAATGTACACGCAGGGCCAGTTTAATATACACGAGTATATTATCTGCTACACAGTGAGAGCTGTTTAAACCGACGCAAAAGCAATTAACTGATAAGACAATTTTTTGACTCGATTTAAACTTACTAACAAAAAAAACTATTAGTATTAGCTTCCTCACTGTGACCACGGGTTTTTTAGTATTATATAAGTATATACTTATATAATGCAGGAATTCTAGGCAAGGAGCTTGGTTGTGGGACACACTCAACTAAGTACTTAAGTAAGATTGAGAGGCCTCAAATCAGCTTTAAAGATACAGTCATATTGAACCACATTCCACAAGTCTTGAAGATAATTGTTTAGAAATTAGTTAATTTAGAAACTTTGCATGCTTATCAAACTATTAATAAATTACGAATATGCAAAAATTTACGGTGATTCAATATCGGATGCGCATGCAACGTCCGCTTAAAGCTTTAAAGTTTGCATGCAGTGCGAAAAGTGAACATTTTGCTCATTCGTGATTTCGGACAAATTCTGCTTTGCCACGACAGTTCAATGGCATTATATATTAATTTAATTCCAACTTGAATGAGTATAATGTGTCATGTTCAGTCAGTGATCGACCGATATACTTACCTAAACACAAGGAAATGTTTTCAAAGGAAAATATTCGAAATCGTTGAAATTATCTCCTTATTAATGCTTTGAAATGAAATGAAATGAAATGAGGTATTTATATCCCGCTCAAATTATGATTAACCAACAACACAAGGAAGGTGGTTAACCATGTCAGAGCGGCTGACTGTGAGTGATGTGGGCAAAAGTGTAAAAGTGAACTATGTAAAGTATAACTCAGCATAAGGCAAAGACAAAATTAAAACATCTTTTATTGTAAACCACACTAAACTAAATAGAAGCAGAAACCATACAGTACATGTAGGTATAATAAAGGTAAGTACAGTGACATAATCAATCAAGAAAGAATCAGATCCAAGTAAGTAAGAGATCAAGGCATAAAATGGAGTGCGGTAAAAAATAAAAGCCAATGTGTCTTGCAAAGTGAAGTCTTAAATTTGATCCTTCGAACAGCTGTTGAGCAATGAAACGCAAACATAATCTTAGCAAAATGAATATATTTCTTTTATCTTCAGCATTTAATCAGTCACATAATCTGAGAATATCAATGGTTAGTTTGAAAATGTCAAAAATTCTCATCAAAAATGTAGCAAAGTCTCAAAAAATTAATTTAGCATCTCGTCAAAATGGAATAGTTTAAAATCGGAACAAAATTAATGGCATATACTATAATAATGTGGAGTCTGCAGTAGTTCATTAAATCAAAAAGACGCAATTCAAAAATTGATAGACTGCATATATAAAACAAAAATGGACGAATTAAAAATAAAAATAAAAATAAAATTCGGGACACCATGAAAAATTAGCTTCCAGAAACGGAATTCACATTGTTCAGGCCAAACGGATAAAGTGTCTTCAATTTGTTACTATAAAACTGTTCTGACTTTCTAATATTATCTGGGGATGTAGAACACAAAATATCAAAATGGAAACTTTCATTGAAATCAGATCTCTCCCTCAAATTATGAACTGAAAAAAGATGTGCCCCTAAAACATTCTCGTCATCAAAATCTCTGTGGCCCTCAACATTCCCCTTACTACTCGCCTCTAAAATCTCATAATATTTACTGCGATGACCATTCACACGTTGGCTGAGGCTGGTGACTGTTTTTCCCACGTATACGTTATTAACAGTACAAAGTTTGCACGTCGCGCCGTACACAATGTTGCGTGTCTTACAGTTACCACCTTGAGTTCTGACTGAGTGTCCATTATTGGAGACCATGGAATTGCCACTAACAAGGTGACAAGTTTGGCAGGGTCTGCCTTTCTTCTTCTCACCAGGTTTGGTGCATGGGTCAGTTGTTCTTGACTCTGAACCTAAGGCAAGCTTCTTTCTCTTGAATAAAGTGTCCTTTAAGTTAGGGGCTCGCCTGGTCACCACTTGGAGTTTAGGGATCCTCTCAGGGTTCTCACTGCTCCATGTACGGCTATTTGAGATGATGTTACTGGCCTCTTTAGCCTTTTCCTTGGTTTCCTCATAGCCCGCACCGAATGTAACAATCCATGGTGTGAAAGAAGGGGGACCCTGATCCTTTGCCTTGTACTGTAAAGTTCTTGGTATCGATCTGACATCACTGATGACCTCTCTCACCATATCAGTAGGATACGAAGACCGCTCAAAAAACAACTGAAGCTCTGCCAATCTCTCATCCAGCAAGACGCAAAGTGAAGACAATGGAAAGAAAAACATCAGAACTGATTATACAAATGATTATTTAACATTGGCTTGAAACAGTTGGTATCAGTAATACATCTCAACATCAGGGGAAGAGAGTTCCATGCAGTCGGTGCATGGCTTGAGAAACGTCTGTCATCAACTTTGGACCTTTTATTCTTTGGTACCTTGAGCATGAGATGGTCATTAGGTCTCTTCGACCTGCTCATGGTCATGGTGTTTGAGAGTTCTTTATCCACTACATCCACATCCAGTAGTGCTTTGAGGTAATCAGGTGCAGTACCGTGAACTGCTTTGTGGGTTAATAGACAAACTTTAAAGAAGATTCGTTGGTCTATAGGGAGTATGTGGGCCTTCTTATAGAAGGGAACCAAGTCCGTGGTCCTCTCTTCTATGTTATAGATGAAACGAACTGCCCCATTAAGGGTTGATCTAAGTTTTTTCAATCTGGTCTTGGGTAGATTCATGTAAAGAGAATTACAGTAGTCTAATTTAGATATGACCAGTTGTTTCACCAGCATCAATTTAATGCCTTCATCCAGGTAACGACCAATGGTTCTTAGATTCATTATTGTCCAGCTGCATTTCCTTTTGACATTATTGATCTGTCTTTCCATAATTTTAGAGTTTCATCAAATTTTACACCCAGACTCTTCCAGCTGTCTCCTTTACACTCCGTAGGCAGAATTTCAGTGCTTCCAAATTGTAGTCTGACACTGAGTTCACACTTTTTTAGAACATGGCTCTTTCCTAACACCAGTAGTTCTGTCTTTGTTTCGTTCAGTTTCATGTAGTTGTTCACCATCCATGCTTTTATCTCTGCAAGACATTTGTTTGTTCTGTCTTGGACATCAATGAACTGTACCACACGGTTTGGTTTAAATGAGATGTACAGTTGAGAATCATCTGCATAGAGCTGTATAATGTATATCAAGACCATATTTGGCCGCAATTTTCTGGAGAGCTTTGATATAAAGGATGAAAAGAATAGGCCCCAAGAGTGATCCCTGGGGAACTCCAAACAGAAGCTCCAAGAAAGATGAAAGAGTATCATCAATCTTAACACAGAAGTGTCTTTTCTCAAGGTAGGACTTTATCCATTGCAGTGCACTTCCAGTAATTCTATAGTCCTTCATAAGCTTTTCCAATAAGACTGTGTGGTCAATGGTATCAAATGCTGCACTTAAGTCGAGAAGTACAACTATAACAACATTCCCAGCTTCAATTTCTTTGTTTAGATCATCACACATTCTAACAAGTAATGTTTCACAGCTATGATTAGGGCGATATCCAGATTGGACTTTTGAGTAAAGGCTATGGTTCGTTTGATGGACATTAAGCTGGTTTAGTACAATTCTCTCTAGGATCTTAGAGAAGGCAGAAAGGTTAGACACTGGTCGATAGTTACTGAGAATATCAACATCAGCATTTTCCTTCTTCAAAGTCGGTTTGATGACTGTTTTCTTCATATCTGAGGGAAAGACTCCAGTCTTCAAGGATGAGTTCAATACATGAAGTAAAAAAGGTGTTAGTTCATCAACACAGTTTTTTAAGAGAAATGCTGGGATCGGATCCAAGCAGCAGAACTTTTTGGACATCTTTGATACCAGGTCTTTAAGTTCATCAGCTGTTATCTCCGAGAAATTATCAAAGATGCAGTCTTTATCAAGAACAGGATCTTTGTCTTTGTCTTTGTCTTTGTCTTTGTCTTTGTCTTTGTCTTTGTCTTTGTCTTTGTTTTGTCTTTGTCTTTGTCTTTGTCTTTGTCTTTGTCTTTGTCTTTGTCTTTGTCTTTGTCTTTGTCTTTGTCTTTGTCTTTGTCTTTGTCTTTGTCTTTGTCTTTGTCTTTGTCTTTGTCTTTGTCTTTGTCTTTGTCTTTGTCTTTGTCTTTGTCTTTGTCTTTGTCTTTGTCTTTGTCTTTGTCTTTGTCTTTGTCTTTGTCTTTGTCTTTGTCTTTGTCTTTGTCTTTGTCTTTGTCTTTGTCTTTGTCTTTAATTAAATGAAAATATATAATATAAATTTAATGAAAATATCAGTTTATATTTCAACTTTGTTAAGTACCCTGACATTATAATCAAAAAGAGATGATATTTGATCAAAACCCATAATTGGGTAGAGTGGACCGCTGCCAGTGTCTCTCTTTCCCAAACAAAAGAAAATGATATTAATTTGGTTGACCGTCTGCAAATGCAAAATGATACCGACAATGAAATCGGTCGCTCGCTTTTCCCATTTGGTTAAATTATCAATCAATAATTAGTAATAAGTAATTAGTAATCAGTAATTAGTAAATTAGCAATTAGTAATTAGTTATTAGTAATTAGTTATTAGTAATTAGCTATTAGTAATTAGTAATTAGTAATTAGTAATTAGTTATTAGTAATTAGTAATTAGTTATTAGTTATTAGTTATTAGTAATTAGCTATTAGTAATTAGTTTTTAGTAATTAGTTATTAGTAATTAGTTTTTAGTAATTAGTTATTAGTATTTAGCTATTAGTAATTATTTTTTAGTAATTAGTTATTATTAATTAGTTTTTAGTAATTAGCAATAAGCAGGTAAAACTCACTGGGTGTAGGGTCAATCGAAAATGACAACTCGTGATTACTTGGCGTTCTGTAAAAGAAGATGGTGGATGTAGAAGATGATAATAATTATACCTGATACTCAGCAATCAGCAGTGTTCAATATAATATCCCAGAAATTTAATATTAGGTAAGGAATGTAAACTTATGTTTGAAAAGGTCAATGCTTTTATTAATCCGACTTTCGGGTGTAAAGTACTACACTTTAACATCACGTACAAACAGACAAAACGTACAATAACCTATACTATACTAGCTTAAGCTTAGTATAGTAACAAAACTTAGTATAGTAACAAAACTTACCCTGACACCTGTATCCATGATCCGTCTAAGGTCTCTTTGTAAAATAATTCTATAGTGAGGGTGGCAGCGACAACACTTTTATCAGTCCATTCGCATTTCAATTCAGAGGGATCGTCTTTTCTAGCGTAGACAACAGGGAAGTCGTCATCTAGGGCAATACGGGATAAGTAACCTAGTAACCTAGTAACCTAGTAACCTAGTAACCTAGTAACCTAGTAACCTAGTAACCTAGTAACCTAGTAACCTAGTAACCTAGTAACCTAGTAACCTAGTAACCTAGTAACCTAGTAACCTAGTAACCTAGTAACCTAGTAACCTAGTAACCTAGTAACCTAGTAACCTAGTAACCTAGTAACCTAGTAACCTAGTAACCTAGTAACCTAGTAACCTAGTAACCTAGTAACCTAGTAACCTAGTACCCTAGTAACCTAGTAACCTAGTAACCTAGCAACCTAGCAACCTAGCAACCTAGCAACCTACTAACCAATCAGGGTATTTTAGTACACATGAAACTACCTACTCTTAAATACCTTAAAACCATAATTTGAAAATGAAATTAGAATAAAAAAGCAGCTCACATCTGAAAGTAATAGGAACGTCAGCTGACTCCGTGCTGATTGAACCGTATATAGCCACACATTTGTAGTTGCTGTTGCTACCGTCAGTGGTCGTCAAATCGTTGATCTGTAACAAACGGATATTGATGGCAAGATACGATTGTCAAACACAAGGAATTATTTTTTGTTGAAGATTTCCTGGTATTTATTTCCTGATATTTATGCTTTAACCTCCCTACAATATTTTGTCCCCTGCCTTAGGGCATGTAAACAGGGATAAATATGAAGGGACGGTCGGTAGGGAACTTTTTGTGAATTAGATAGGAAGGTAGTAACATAGTAACATAGAATTTCGCTGGATTGTACAACTTTCGTCTTGGTAGATTCCAAACACAAGGAAATTTTCCTTCTGGTTGTTAATATACTCAATGATGGGAGTATAGTGTATTGGCTATGCCCCGCTTACTAGTTTAGCTCTTTCTAGTCCCCTGCTACACGGCATGTAAACAGGGATTGGCTAGTTAGAGGCGGTCCGTGTAGGCCTTACACTGTGCTTTCAGCAATACTCATAAGTATTTCCGTGGCTGTGGTTGCAATGCGCCTAGTCTACTGGAATGATTCTTCGGAATTTCGCTGGATTGTACAACTTTCGTCTTGGTAGATTCCAAACACAAGGAAATTTTCCTTCTGGTTGTTAATATACTCAATGATGGGAGTATAGTGTATTGGCTATGCCCCGCTTACTAGTTTAGCTCTTTCTAGTACCCTGCTACACGGCATGTAAACAGGGATTGGCTAGTTAGAGGCGGTCCGTGTAGGCCTTACACTGTGCTTTCAGCAATACTCATAAGTATTTCCGTGGCTGTGGTTGCAATGCGCCTAGTCTACTGGAATGATTCTTCGGAATTTCGCTGGATTGTACAACTTTCGTCTTGGTAGATTCCAAACACAAGGAAATTTTCCTTCTGGTTGTTAATATACTCAATGATGGGAGTATAGTGTATGGCTATGCCCCGCTTACTAGTTTAGCTCTTTCTAGTCCCCTGCTACACGGCATGTAAACAGGGATTGGCTAGTTAGAGGCGGTCCGTGTAGGCCTTACACTGTGCTTTCAGCAATACTCATAGAAACATAGTAACATAGTAACATAGTAACATAGTAACATAGTAACATAGTAACATAGTAACATAGTAACATAGTAACATAGTAACATAGTAACATAGTAACATAGTAACATAGTAACATAGTAACATAGTAACCTAGTAACCTAGTAACCTAGTAACCTAGTAACCTAGTAACCTAGTAACCTAGTAACCTAGTAACCTAGTAACCTAGTCACCTAGTAACATAGTAACCTAGTAACCTAGTAACCTAGTAACCTAATAACCTAGTAACCTAGTAACCTAGTCACCTAGTAACCTAGTAACCTAGTAACCTAGTAACCTAGTAACCTAGTAACCTAATAACCTAGTAACCTAGTAACCTAGTAACCTAGTAACCTAGTAACCTAGTAACCTAGTAACCTAGTAACCTAGTAACCTAGTAACCTAGTAACCTAGAAACCTAGTAACCTGGTAACCTAGTAACCTATTAACCTAGTAACCTAGTAACCTAGTAACCTAGTAACCTAGTAACCTAGTAACCTAGTAACCTATTAACCTAGTAACCTAGTAACCTAGTAACCTATTAACCTAGTAACCTAGTAACCTAGTAACCTAGTAACCTTGTAACCTAGTAACTGACCGTAAGGATGCTAGTAGAGAGGAAGGTATCACAGCTGCACACGTCGAACTCCCTGGTTTCCACGTACTTGGAGTTGTCTACTGTTATAGCACCGTTTTTATCGTGCCACGTGAACCTGTAATCCATTTTGTTGACTATTTGTTTTACAATGGTGTATAAGATGCTCCTGCCAGGAATTACTTACTAGTATATAATTAGTAATGACTTGCTAAATAGTCTATAAATACTTGTTAACTAGTCTACAATTACTTGCTAACAAGTCTATAATTAGTTTATAATCTTGAGAAGGAACACTTACCCGGAGGCTGCAGTATCGGATCGAGCAGAACAGGAGAAAGTGGCAGTTCCTCCAACTTGACCTACTACCGCAGCTGGATCTGTTGTTATACCTGCGCAGAACAGAGTTAGCTGCGTTATCAATGTATATGTTAACAATACCAATTTAGCAATATGTAAACAATAAATATATCGAAACTTGAAAAGAAAAAACAACTTACCAACAATCACCGACTGCAGAGTTGGCTGAACAGTAGTAACCTAGTAACCTAGTAACCTAGTAACCTAGTAACGTAGTAACCTAGTAACCAAGTAACCTAGTAACCTAGTGACCTAGTAACCTAGTGACCTAGTAACCTAGTGACCTAGTAACCTAGTGACCTAGTAACCTAGTGACCTAGTAACTTAGTAACCTAGTAACCTAGTAACCTAGTAACCTAGTAACCTAGTAACCTAGTAACCTAGTAACCTAGTAACCTAGTAACCTAGTAACCTAGTAACCTAGTAACCTAGCAACCTAGTAACCTAGTAACCTAGTAACCTAGTAACCTAGTAACCTAGTAACCTAGTAACCTAGTAACCTAGTAACCTAGTAACCTAGTAACTTACCAACAATCACCAGATCTGCTGCCTGGGAAACTACAGTTCTCGAGTCGGCTGAACAGTAGTAAGATCCCAGGTCGTCATTGACAGCCGTCGACTGCAAACATTGTAATTATAGTTTACTCATAAAGTTATAAGCTTATAGATCTAGATTAGGGAGACGAGCCACGTTACATGTTACCTTAGCAACCAGTGATTCTGGGGTTTAATTAGTCAACGCTGGATGCTGATTGGTTAATGACTGTCACATGTTCATCACCTCCTCACGTCCAGTAGCCACATTCTAACGAATTAACATTATTTCAGTCGGCAGCCAGAATGAAATAATGTTACCATAGCAACCTGATTGAAGCCGGAACAGTAACCTTTCTGTACATTTTAAAAGACTTCAAGGGTGAAAGTGTTCCTCATTCGTAACGATAGTTACACATAGTACATACCTTACGAGATATATTTATGTTCGACATAATTCCGATGACCTAAATGATTCGGGAACGAAAATATAGGAATTTTTACCGAAAACCGCCACATTTCGTACTGCAAATTAGAGCATGGTATTTGAGGATTTTCTCATTATTTTACAAAAATGAAACTCAATATTTGAGAAAATTAAATACAAAGATCTTCTCTGATCAGCTGTTTCATCCTGTTTCATCCGGTATAGGAGACCGACAGTGTTTGTTTTCTGCCACTTTCACCGTCGTGGCCAATAAAGTAGTGACAGAGCTTGCTTATTTTTAATGGAACGTGTCCAAAATCATTTTTAAAGCAATTCTTGATTGAATATTAGTGTTCATTAATTGTTTGATATATCATATGTATAACTTACTATATTGATAATTTGAGAGTAAATCGATCAAGTCATAATTAAAGAAAATACGTGAAAAACAATTTCGGGAAAATAATGATGGTGACCTAAATTTTGATCCGAAAATATGATTTTTTTTTCGAAAAACCACCGACTTTCGTATACCATTTAAATATGTCTCGTAAGGTAATCATTTACACAATTGGTTAAATACTTGGTTACACCATACCTTGGTGTACTCGAGAGCTTGTACACTGTCGGTCAGAGTTTGACTCATTACGCTTGTGGGAGGATCTGTGGGAGGTTTTTAATTAGTGTAATTATTGTAAATATTGTAATTATTGTAATTATTGTAATTATTGTAATTATTGTAATTATTGTAATTATTGTAATTATTGTAATTATTGTAATTATTGTAATTATTGTATTTAGTGTAATTATTGTAATTATTGTAATTATTGTAATTATTGTAATTATTGTATTTAGTGTAATTAGTGTAGTTATTGTATTTAGTGTAATTAGTGTAGTTACTGTCATTGTCATAAATAAGATTCCTCCTAATGCCAAGAAAGTTTCTTTTAAAAGAGAAGATACACTACCCTAGTTATGATTTCATTGATAAACTCATCTTCACCACTTACCCACTATCCTATACGAATCAGAAGCGGTATCATCAGCCGCAAATTTGATTTTAGCGCTGTCATCATTATAGGTAGAACCACAGTTGGCTACACCACTGTAAGTAAGGGTCACCACCAGCTCATCATTACAATGTATGTACAGTTCCGTGTGGTCTGCCTTCTCCGTTATTCTCCACACTTTCTCCAAGTCAGTAGTGGGTGGGCTTGGGAAGGTGACCGCTGACGAGTGACACCCTGATACCTGGTAGGTAAGTGTTGCCGCGAAATTTATTTCAAGACTGCCGATCTTGGCGTCCTGACTGGTGTAGAACTCTACGTTAACCTTGTCGTTGGAACTGGGGGCTGAATCTGTTTTGATCTGTAGCTCCTTGGCTTCCAGGTCCATGGTTATAAGGCCACCCGTAGTAACAGTAGCCCAACCTGAATAGTGGATATTAGTAACAGTAGCCCAACCTGAATAGTGGATATTAGTAACAGTAGCCCAACCTGAATAGTGGATATTAGTAACAGTAGGACAACCTGAATAGTGGATATTAGTAACAGTAGCCCAACCTGAACAGTGGATATTAGTAACAGTAGCCCAACCTGAATAGTGGATATTAGTAACAGTAGCCCAACCTGAATAGTGGATATTAGTAACAGTAGCCCAACCTGAATAGTGGATATTAGTAACAGTAGCCCAACCTGAATAGTGGATATTAGTAACAGTTGCCCAACCTGAATAGTGGATATTAGTAACAGTAGCCCAACCTGAATAGTGGATATTAGTATCAGTAGCCCAACCTGAATAGTGGATATTAGTAACAGTAGGACAACCTGAATAGTGGATATTAGTAACAGTAGTTCAACCTGAATAGTGGATATTAGTAACAGCTACCCAACCTGATGTTTGTGTATTTATAATAAATCATTAATTTAGGATCCAATCGTTATATTCATTATTCAATATAATATATACCAGGCCTTTTCTAACGCTCCAGTTTTACGGGGAAACAACTTGAACCGTATCCGGCCATAAGAGACAAAACCAAAAATATCTCAAATATGTCCAAACAAGGTAAAGTAACACTAAAGGTGTACTATAAACATTGACTAAGGTTACGTACCTGAGATGAAGGAGGGGTGAGCTCTGTACATTTCCAGATTGCCGCTAGTTCCCAGACCAGCTGATATGGTACAGGACATGGTGAAGGCGGCGTCTGCCCCAACTTTAGTATAGGTCGGTACCACGCTGAACCCTGGAGTGTTGCAAATTTAGTGAAAATTATTATACTGCTGACTCTTGCTGTTGCATTATTGTCAATGTGAAGTCACAAGTTTCAATTTTCAGGAACAGATCAATATGTCATGATTTAGGATAACCAGTAGATATTGAATCTGGTTCGTGATATTATGACGTGTTACATACCTTTGATTGCTAGAGTGGTCACGGTTCCAGAAACGGTCGCTGTTCCGTAGTCCGCGACACACGTGTAGGAACCTGAAATGCGAGGTTTAGAAGCTCTAAATAAATAAAGTTTAGTCGGAGAACACCATCTACCTCAATTAATTTAAATCACTACAACTACGGTAATTACTTCAATTAATCACTTCAATTAATTATTTCAATTTCGTTATTAAACATTACATTTCATGGTCCACTAATAAATATTGTAACAGTTAATAATCACCTGCGTCACTAGTTTGGGGAGATACTATTTTGAGATAGTGGTTAGGTGCAGAAGAGGATTTTTCGTAACCAGAGTTAGCTGTAGTGTCCACAAGGATGTTGTCTTTAGACCACGTGATCTGATGAAAAGATAAGCTTAGCACGTGATAAGATAAACACGTGATAGGCTTAGCACGTGACAAGATAAACACGTGACAAGATAAACACGTGATAAGATAAACACGTGACAAGATGTTGGACTAAGTTGCCAGAACTGCTCTGTTTAGAACTGAAGGTTATTGATAACAATGAGTATGCACTTACCGAGGTGGGGGTATAAGAGAATGCACATGAGAGGGTTAGGGCAACTCCGTCATACCCGTTGAGGGTGGCTGTGGCGGCACCAGTGTTCGCTGGGCAATATTGTGTTATTAATTAAATTAATTATAGTAATAAGTACCAAAACACTATCACATCGAATTATTAAGTTGGAGATAACAACCCAGACATTGGACTGATATAATAAACACAGTGGAGTGTAAACTAATTAACCTAATGAATTAACCTAATAAATTAAACCAATAACCAGTTACCCACCGAGTATGTTGATAGAAGCCGGACTACTAGTGACTATATTACTCCCTCCAACCACAGCTAGTGAGCTGTACACTACCGCGCACTTAAAGCTCTCGTCAGTGGTGGCTGTACGTGACAAGGTCTTGGTGGCGATGAAGTTAGTTGTAGTTATCGAGCTGACTGTGTAGTCTCCCCCACTGGTCAGAGCAGCTGGTGTAGTTCGGAAATGTTATATCTTTCATGTTTTCAAGAAATATCGTTAGATTATATTTGCATTACAATTGCTATTTCTTGGTATTATATTGATTTAACTGCTTTATGGTTATAAAGACTATTATGCAGCTTGGTGTCAGGCTGTTAGTAGGTTATGTACTACAATAATTAATTATAATCATATAATTATAGAAATTATAGTTATAGAAATAGCGCCACTCCGCAATATAGCATACTTACAAATAACTATTAGGTCACACTCTCACGTGTCGTCACACACTCTCACGTGACGTCACACACTCTCACGTGACGTCACACACTCTCACGTGACGTCACACACTCTCATGTGACGTCACACACTCTCACGTGACGTCACACACACTCTCTTAAAACAAAGTTACAACTAACTAATAGGGTCGGCTGAGAGGTAGAAGTTGATATCTGCAGTGTAATCAGTAGGACTGGAGGCAGAGCAGGTGAAGGTCACTGAAACACCAGCGATTGTGTTCACGTCAGATGGCGCTGTGGTTATCTCTGAAATATGCAACTGGTTACCATGGTAACTTACCGTGTGCACCTGGTTATCACGTGCACCTTTTGTCAGATATTTTATTGAGAGATTGAGGGATTCTCAGCGTTAGTGCCACAAAACATTCATATTAGACCTATGATTAGCAGTGAAAAGATACAATTTCAGCTTTGTAAATAATGCATTTCTCCTTCGAATTTAACTCGATAGTAGCACAGGTAGAGGTTTATAAGGGGTTCATAAGGGGTTTATAATGGGGTTTAACCCATAAGGGACGACGATTTTTAAAATTCGCCCATTTTGATGCAATTTAACACACTAGGTCACTTCACAGCAAAAATGAGTTATCCAAAAAAGCTAATCTATATCGTTTACTTTAAAAGATACAACGATGAACAAAAACGACCCACTCGTCCGGGTCGCAAACGACCCATCACGTTTATGGGGGGTTTATAAGGGATTTATGACGGGTTTATGACGGGTTTATAAGAGGTTTATAACGGGTTTATAACGGGTTTATAAGGGGTTCATAACGGGTTTATAACGGGTTTATAAGGGATTTAAATATCTTACCAAGTTGGCGTATGTCGAACGTCGCTGAATAAAATGGAATGTTATTTCCAGTGAAGTAGCCCTTGCACTTGTAGGACACCGTTGGAGAGAACAAACTTGCAGAATTCAATGATACGTCATTTGCTGCTAGCAGCAGGGTTGTACTGGTTGTAGATCCACCGATCAGGTTTAGAGTGGAGATCGAAGTGCTGTCCCTGACTAAGTCTGAAAATACACCATTAATCAGTAAAATTATAAATTGAAAGGATAACACACAGAACTACATAACTATTAAATAATTAATGATTAAATAATAGTATATGCAGATTGGTTATATAAGTAGCAAAAATTGAACATAAACTAATTGCATATATTATTATGAGAAAGATTTTGTGGAAAATATAGGTGAACTAGATGGAACTTACAGGACGCGCCGCTGGAGAAGCTGGATTGCAACAAAGTGTCAAGCTCTAGGGTACAGGACACTGATATAGTAGAACCGACTGTCGTGTATAGAGTACTTGGAGGAATAAAACCTGGGTAGTTGGGGCATGTTAACACGCGCTTATATGGCCATAACGTGACATGTTACCCCAAGGTAGCAGAGTTTTTTAGGATTTACATATAACTCAGATTGGCAAATAATAGATTAACATATAATTTACATAATATTATACTTGATGAACATTGAGCATACAGTGGTGAATTCCATCCATTTACATTTTACAGTATAATAGTATAAAAACGAAGTAACCATGGTAATGATGTAACGGTACTTACGTGGGAAGCCAATGTAAGTGGCAGCCGAATCAACGGTCACCGTAGAATCGGTCGTAATAGCTCTACACTTGTAAGATCCAGAATCCGAAGCTGTGGATGACTCAAAGAATAACGTCGACACCTGGTAATTAATAAGTGGTAATCAAGTGGTAATTAAGTGGAAATTAAGTGGCAATTAAGTGGTAATTATATGGTAATTATGTGGTTATTGAGTGGCAATTAAGTGGTAATTAACTGGTATTGTTGACTTGAACAATTAGTGGGTGAATATTATAAACGTGGATCCTGGTTGAGAGCTGTGTAGCATATTTGTTTTGACACGTGACAGTGACTTTGGATTTTGATCGGTCTATGTTCGGTCAATGCTTGAATCTGATTGGTTAATTGCTGTCACGAGTGCGGAAAAGTTACACTTCCAACCAGTTTCCAGTCCTTCGTATAGACAGGAACTTTCACACAGCAGTACAACTCTTGAAAGGGTATTATAATTTTCTACAAAATGTTCACAAACCTGTTTGAGATTTTGATAGTAAGTGTTCTGTGAGCTGATCTTGCCTGCTATTTGTTCTATTTCAACATCATCCTTGTACCTGAAACAGAAATTAATTAAAATAACAAATTTGTAATTGTGAGGACGGTTGGTATTTTGATTATTTACACGTATGTGTAATTAATTATGTGATCTTTTAGTTACACGACATGTGTTATCACGTGATCTCTTAGTTTACTTTTACTAGAAACTGGTGTCACACTACCCCCCCCCCCCCCCCACCTAAGACCGTAGCTAGACGGTACGTGACGCAATCGATCACGTAACGCGTCACATCACGTTTAGCTAGAAGAAATACACCATCACGTGACTCATCGCGTGATGCGTTACGTACCGTCTAGATACGGTCTAACCGGCTGAATTACACCTTATAAATGCTTAAATGAGATTCAACCTCAAATCAATATACCTACTTGCGGCAAAGTAACCATATTTGTTTTACACGTGAATCTAGATTTTAATTTGTCGATGCTGGAAGCTGATTGGTTGATCACTGTCACAGTGTCAAATGTCAGAAACATCTGAACAGCTCCCAACCAGTATCTAAATCTATAAAGTTTTAATAAATATTAATTAATTAATATTAATTAATTAGTTTAATCAATTAAAGTTTTTAAATAATTATAATTGTACGTTACCATTTCAGGCTGTCTGTGGCGTCACCTTCATATGTACAAGTAATGGTGTAAGCCGTCCCCGGAAGTGAATAAGTATGTCCAAACAGGGACGTTGTTATTTCTGAGGAAATAACATTTACGTTGATATTTCTGAGGAAATAATATTTACGTTGTTATTTCTGAGGAAATAATATTCACGTTGATATTTCTGAAAAAATTATATTTACGTTGTTATTCCTAAAGAAATAATATTTACATTGTTATTTCTGAGGAAATAATATTTACGTTGTTATTTCGGAGGAAATAATATCTATGCTGTTATTTCTGAGGAAATAATGTTTGCGTTGTTATTTCGGAGGAAATAATATTTATGTTGTTATTTCTGTGAAATACTATTTATTCATTCATGGGAGCGTATCTCATTGATGATCGAATATTCAACCGTTTAACAATTCGCTTATTAATATTTCCAGATAGTAATTTTGAATTAGCTTGTATGATAGTAAAAACATGACAAGAAAACAATGTGATTTGTCAATTTTAGCTCTACTAATAAGTAAAGGGATAGTTCAGTGGACCGATGCTTTTTGAAATATCTAAAAATGCCGCAAAATTGCTTACCTCGCTTATACAGATAAGCTTCGGTAGAATAAGCCATGGTGGATGAAGTTACATAAATCCCTGCCACGTAAGCCGTGTATAAATCAGCTGTTACACTTGCTGTGTCTATTCGCAATTCTGAAGTCAGGGAAGCCTCTGTCGGTACAGTAATTGTGTATCCATCTACTCCACTTAAAGAGACCTGAAAAGAAGAATTTCAATCAATTAAAAAAACTTACTAAGCACTATTGTTTTGCCGTTGCTATAGTAACGTTAATATCACCGTTACTATCACCTTCACATGGTTGCTATAGTAACGTTAATATTACCGTTACTATCACCTTCACATGGTTACTATAGTAACGTTAATATCACCGTTACTATCACCTTCACATGGTTACTATAGTAACGTTACTATCACCGTTACTATCACCCTCACATGGTTACTATAGAAACGTTACTATCACCATTACTATCATCTTCACATGGTTGCTATAGTAACGTTACTATTACCGTTACTATCACCTTCACATGGTTAATGGTTAATATAGTAACGTTACTATCACCATTACTATCATCTTCACATGGTTGCTATAGTAACGTTACTATTACCGTTACTATCACCTTATTCAAGTTATTTAAAAACTTACATAATATGAGGACCCCGGAATAACACCGTACCATAGTATTGTTTTATACAATATGGAACTCAGGGAGCCGTCCACAACGGCGGTGAAGGTAACTGCAGTTCCTGATTGGACGACTGAGGTTGGGTGGGTCACAAAGCCCTTAGCTGAAGTAAAAACTGGATTAATATACAATATACATTATACATATATACATACGTCATACATTATACAAAATATTTAATATATTACATCAAATATTTTTCAAAGGAAGAACTTTATTTCTAACCTATACAATATAATATATATATATATATTATTATAACTGTTATTATTTGAAAGTGTTGAGTGTTGACTTACATGTGGGTTCCATCATAAAGGGAATCTGGACACTGTTAGCGTCATATGTTATAGTACAGATGTATGCACTGCCACTCAAATCATTCTGTGAAGATTAACGTTATATCAGGAATAATACCAATTTTTTGTTTCATGCTGATTTGAAGGCCACTTAAGCATTCGCACCAGTCAAAAAAGTTGTATATCTTTTACAGTTTTTGAAGAAAGTCGTGTTAAAGTTGATGCCGTGGTTTCAGTAAAATAATACGGATTTATACAGGGTCACCCTGTAACAGGGTGGGCCAAAAGTCAGTGGACATACGTTGGCCTTAATAGCTCGGTTACTGAGTGCCCAATTGAGATATTTTTTGTTTGACTTACAACTCCATTGCAGCGAAGTCTAACGGCCAGGTAGCGTAGTTGGTTAATCATCGGATTTGTAATCGTGAGATTGCGAGTTCGAAACCCACTGCCTGCCTAGTCGTGGGGTGAGTGTCGTCGACATTCAGCTAATGATCCTGAGTGGTCTATGCAGCCCCCCGGTCTACTCAGCCGAATATTCGAGAAATCGTGTGTGAGGGTTAAATGAGAAGCTGTCCATTGCAGCGAAGTCTCGGGCGAAGAAAGTATGGTACACACTACCTTAACCGTCACTGGCCTAATTAAATCCTTCGGCTTCCTGTAATTGGCTAGTTACACTTGTGTAACAATGTGGCTGTTGGAATACTCCGAAGTAAAATAAGTGTGAGATAACCAACACTGGTTAGAGGAATTTGTCAAATCGAAAAATATTCGATTTCATTTTTTTCATATGAAGGTTCATTTTTGCATTTATTTGATAGTTTTAATAGTCGGATCGAGCTAAATTTTATTGAATTGTGTTTGGCCACTCGAATTACGATTGTCCTGAAAAATTTAGAACTGTAGAAATTTAGATTCTCAGATGACCGAGATATGAATCATAACGAGTTTATTCATTACGTGTGATCCGGTCATGTGTTTACCTAATCACTTGATTAGGTGACCCCGTTAACCACCCCGTTAAACATTATGGAAATTGTTAAGGCGGTGCCCAATTAAGGTGTCGTGTCACGGTGTCACATAATCACCCAGTCAATTTTGTTAACGAGATACAAAAGGTGTTTTAATATTGAATGGGCGTGGTCTAAAATATTCGAATTTTCAAAGTTTGACGACGGAATCCTCGAACAATTTAGTACAGTATGCCATCTGCAAAGCAACAGCTCTCAAATATAAAACTCGGCGGAGCTATTATAAGGCCAACGTATGCCCACTTAATTTTGGCCCATCCTGTATATATCGTCTCGCTTTATATATAGTAAGATGGTCCTATTGTATAGTAAGAATACCTCATCAATCTTAATTTTTTACTTCAAAGTATTTTGACTTTAAGATTTATTTTAAAGTTTAAAAATAGACTTAACCAAAACACCCTCTAAGTCTAAGCTAAAAGACAGCACTTCGCTGATCAAATCAGTATCTTGTATATATACAGCAGCATATAATTATCATATATAATAATTATATGCTGCTGTTTATTTTTACAGTAATTGGAGTAACACGTAACAATCGATTTAGATTCTGTATTATGTTTAAACTTTAATATACTCTTATGAATTTACAGTAAAATTCTTATTATTTAAATTGTACCGGTATAGATGCCCACGATAGAGTGGTCGTGGTCTTTTTGGTGTTAGGATCATACGTCTTGGTGGAAGTGGTTGCGGTCATATCTGCATAGGAAGTCCTGTAAACAAATCCAGTTATCTTTAATTATAATACTCGAGACATTAAGACAGGGACTTTATTAGGAAACTGGGAAAATGTTACAAAATGTTCGCTTCATATTTACCAGGTAGCTGTGTCAGCCTCTTTGGGCCCAATTGCAACACACGGAGGAAGAGAGTACGCTGTATTGAATATTGCGGTATTGAAGTATTTTCTTAGTTCAGACGGTTCGTCAACAATGCCTGGAAAAATGCATGTTATTCTTAGTTTTTACTTTTAGTCTTGAATTATTTGGTTTATATTTGGCAATGAATGTAATAATAGTTAGATTTAAACGTCATTTTACCTTTAGAGCTTATAAAGTTATAAGATAACGTACTGATAATATCGAGAGTTGCGGAGTTAGAGGTAACGCTACCCCCGTTGAAGTTCCCATTCTGTGCGTACTCTGCCTTGCAGTAGTAGTCACCTGCATCGTCTGAGGAGATGTGATAAAAATACCTCATTATACATTTAAACTAGTAACTATAACAACTAGTAACTATAGCAACTAGTAACTATAATATCAAATAGTAACTATAACTAGTGAATACCACATTATTTTTATATATTTAAAATAAAAAATTGTAATAATTGATAGGTGGAGGAGAGACTGTTTTTTATTTAATTAATATAAATGTATTAATGTATATTACAAATAGGTATTAATTTATTACATATAATATGTAATAAGGTAATAATAGAATGATAAACATATCAACAATCTGCATCATCAAGGCATTAAATTTAAAAGCACCGAGTTTCAGAACAAAAAACAAGATGACTGGTGGGAAGGTGAACACTAGACACGTGGCATTGCACGTGACACTGCACACTTGACACGTGGCATTACATTGTCAGACTGTTTATCTGTTTACCTATATTCACATCGTTTATCACCGTCATTTCTCCTACACCGGAAGTGGACGAGAAGGAGTATTTATTAGTATCCGTCAGTTCAGTACTTCCCTGTGAGAGAGGAACTGTTATCTATCTTGTAACTATAGCAACTAGTAAGTAGTAACCGTTATCTATCTTGCATGTTTTCTAAATAATAGAAAATAAAGTTCTAGTGACAAAAGAGAGTAAATGTAACAGAAAAGATTAAATTTAACAAAAGAGAGTAAATTTAACTGGGTTTAGATTATAGATATACTTTTCTTTCATTGAAATGTTTCCCTGAAAATGTCGCACAATTTAATGACGACGGAGGCAGAACGATGACTGTACGGCATGAGTACTACTCTAGAACTGCCTTCAACTCAAACTTGTATTACCGAAATATTGGTAATCCACTAGCAAAACTGGTAACGCTTGTTACTATAGCAATTAATAACTATAGCAACTAGTAACTATAGCAATTAGTAACTATAGCAACTAGTAACTATAGCAACTAGTAACTATAGCAACTAGTAACTATAGCAACTAGTAACTATAGCAACTAGTAACTATAGCAACTAGTAACTATAGCAACCAGTTAATATCTAAGATGAGAAGTACGTACCGTACCCGGCTTAAAGTACGTACGGTAAGAAGTTTTTATTAGTACGTACCGTACAACCACTTAAAGTTTAAAGAACGAAATTTTTCTTAAAATGGTGTCCGTTTTTTACTTTATTTTTTATTGTTGTAAAATTGGCAGGTATATATGCAATTTTCAAATCATGATTTTAGTGCCATCGAATGCTAAAGTCGAATTGAATAATTTTTAAGACAATAAATTAATTTGAATAACTGCAATTATACTCAATAGGAGTACGTACAGTCATACTATTTTAATGATGGAAATACAAATGCAGCGACATAAGTTTAGGTGCCCGTAGCGCCATTTCAAGTGTTCCTGTTATTATTTTGTCACAAAAGTCCCATCTATCGTACTTTTTTAAAAATTTATTAGTACGTACGGTACAGCCACTTTGAAAAGTACGTACCGTACGAACTTCTCATCATAGGTTACTATAACAACTAGTAACTATAGCAACTAGTAACTATACCAATTAGTAACTATAGGAACTAGTAACTATAGCAACCATTAACTATAGCAACTAGTAACTATAGCAACTATAACAACGCTTGCTTTGTAATGTCAATTTAGTTATTGGCGTCGCCAATACCTAAATTATGCAAACAACACAGAATCAAACATAGAATAAAACATAGAATCAAACATGGAATCAAATCCAGAGGATAAATGGACCTACCTTAAACCAGGAAATAGTAAGGGAGCTGTGATCGGAGGCGGTGCAAGAAATAGGACCTGCTTGGGAGTCACCGGACTTTGCTATCACAGCCGCAGGCTGACTCGTGATCACTGGAAGTGGAAGTGTTAAATTTAAGTAATAATACTTACAATTCCAAGTAATAATACTTACAGTTCCAAGTAATAATACTTATAGTTCCAAGTAATAATACTTACAGTTCCAAGTAATAATATTAACAGTTCCAAGTAATAACACTTACAGTTTCAAGTAATAATACTTACAGTTCCAAGTAATAACACTTACAGCTCCTAGTAATAACACTTACAGCTCCAAGTAATAACACTTACAGTTCCAAGTAATAACACTTACAGTTCCAAGTAATAACACTTACAGTTCCAAGTAATAATACTTACAGTTCCAAGTAATAATATTAACAGTTCCAAGTAATAATACTTACAGTTCCAAGTAATAACACTTACAGCTCCAAGTAATAACACTTACAGTTCCAAGTAATAACACTTACATCTCCAAGTTATAATACTTACAGCTCCAAGTAATAACACTTACAGTTCCAAGTAATAACACTTACAGTTCCAAGTAATAATACTTACAGTTCCAAGTAATAATACTTACAGTTCCAAGTAATGATATTAACAGTTCCAAGTAATAATACTTACAGTTCTGAGTAATAAAAAAATTGTGTACTAACCGAGGGGGATAGGTTGGCTTGTGAAGATGTGTAGGTGGTGGAAGAGTACTAACCGAGGGGGTGAGGTTGGCTTGTGAAGATGTGTAGGTGGTGAAAGAGTACTAACCGAGGGAGATGAGGTTGGCTTGTGAAGATGTGTAGGTGGTGGAAGTGTACTAACCGAGGGGGATGAGGTTGGCTTGTGAAGATGTGTAGGTGGTGAAAGAGTACTAACCGAGGGAGATGAGGTTGGCTTGTGAAGATGTGTAGGTGGTGGAAGTGTACTAACCGAGGGGGATGAGGTTGGCTTGTGAAGATGTGTAGGTGGTGGAAGAGTACTAACCGAGGGAGATGAGGTTGGCTTGTGAAGATGTGTAGGTGGTGGAAGAGTACTAACCGGGGGGTGAGGTTGGCTTGTGAAGATGTGTAGGTGGTGGAAGAGTACTAACCGAGGGAGATGAGGTTGGCTTGTGAAGATGTGTAGGTGGTGGAAGAGTACTAACCGAGGGGGATGCGGTTGGCTTGTGAAGATGTGTAGGTGGTGGAAGAGTACTAACCGAGGGGGATGAGGTTGGCTTTTGAAGATGTGTAGGTGGTGAAAGAGTACTAACCGAGGGGGGTGAAGTTGGCCTTTGAAGACGTGTAGGTGGTGGAGGAATCCGTTACTTCACACGCGTAAGTGTCTGTAGTGGACACAGTGTATTGAAATATCAACACGCTGAAATAAGGATAAAGTTGATTTCTTTGTTAGTGGAACATTTCAGGAAGTTGAGAGTGGTGCACGTGGGATCTTTAAAAGAAATAACAACGTTAACAACGTTAACAACGTTAACAACGTTAACAACGTTCACAACGTTAACAACGTTAACAACGTTAACAACGTCAACAACGTTAACAACGTCAACAACGTCAACAACGTTAACAACGTTAACAACGTTAACAACGTTAACAACGTTAACAACGTTAACAACGTTAACAACGTTAACAACTTTAACAACTTTAACAACGTTAACAACTTTAACAACGTTAACAACGTTAACAACGTTAACAACGTTAACAACGTTAACAACGTTAACAACGTTAACAACTTTAACAACTTTAACAACGTTAACAACTTTAACAACGTTAACAACGTTAACAACGTTAACGCTGTCAACGGTCCAATCTTATTGCGGGTGTGGTATTCATTACTGCACAATTTTGCACTGTTAACTGGGGATAGATCGGATTCCTCGTTGTATAATGTATATCTGGGTTTATTTAGATTCATTCATTTCTGTAAAATCATGTATTGTTTGAAAAGATTTAAGATATATAAGATAAAATTAACAACATGAAAATTAATAGTCACCTGGTGAAGGAAGTGCCAGAGTAAGTGTTAGTTATGGAGGTTCCCGATCCAGCTGTTACTGTATTTTCGGAGCTAAGTCCTTCTTTCCAGACCACAGTCGGCTCTGTCAGGGTGGAGGCAACACAGGATAAGGTTACAAGAGCTCCTTGTACGACATTGTCAGAGGTCGGCGATGTGATTATTCCTGGCGGGGGGTTTATTTAGTGAGGGTTTATTTAGTGGGGGGTTTATTTAGTGGGGGGTTATCTAGTGGGGGTTTATCTAGTGGGGGGTTATCTAGTGGGGGGTTTATCTAGTGGGGGGGTTTATCTAGTGGGGGGTTTATCTAGTGGGGGGTTTATCTAGTGGGGGGTTTATCTAGTGGGGGGTTTATTTAGTGGGGGGTTATCTAGTGGGGGGTTATCTAGTGGGGGGTTTATCTAGTGGGGGGTTTATCTAGTGGGGGGTTTATCTAGTGGGGGGTTTATCTAGTGGGGGGTTTATCTAGTGGGGGGTTTATCTAGTGGGGGGTTATCTAGTGGGGGGTTTATCTAGTGGGGGGTTATCTAGTGGGGGGTTTATTTAGTGGGGGGTTATTTAGTGGGGGTTTATTTAGTGGGGGGTTATTCAGTGGGGGTTTATCTAGTGGGGGGTTTATCTAGTGGGGGGTTTATTTAGTGGGGGGTTTATCTAGTGGGGGGTTATCTAGTGGGGGTTATTTAGTGGGGGTTATTTAGTGGGGGTTTATTTAGTGGGGGGTTATCTAGTGGGGGGTTTATTTAGTGGGGGGTTTATTTAGTGGGGGTTTATTTAGTGGGGGTTTATTTAGTGGGGGTTTATTTAGTGTGGGGTTATCTAGTGGGGGGTTTATTTAGTGGGGGTTTATTTAGTGGGGGTTTATTTAGTGGGGGTTTATTTAGTGGGGGTTTATTTAGTGGGGGTTTATTTAGTGTGGGGTTATCTAGTGGGGGTTTATTTAGTGGGGGTTTATTTAGTGGGGGTTATTTAGTGGGGGTTTATTTAGTGGGGGTTTATTTAGTGGGGGTTATTCAGTGGGGGTTTATTTAGTGGGGGTTTATCTAGTGGGGGGTTTATTTAGTGGGGGTTTATTTAGTGTGGGGTTATCTAGTGGGGGGTTTATCTGGCGGGGGTTTATTTAGTGGGGGTTATTTAGTGGGGGTTTATTTAGTGTGGGGTTATCTAGTGGGGGGTTTATCTAGTGGGGGTTTATTTAGTGAGGGTTATTTAGTGGGGGTTTATTTAGTGGGGGTTATTTAGTGGGGGTTTATTTAGTGGGGGTTTATTTAGTGGGGGTTTATTTAGTGGGGGTTATTTAGTGGGGGTTTATTTAGTGGGGGTTATTTAGTGGGGGTTTATTTAGTGGGGGTTATTTAGTGGGGGTTTATTTAGTGGGGGTTTATTTAGTGGGGGTTTATTTAGTGTGGGGTTATCTAGTGGGGGGTTTATCTAGATGAGGGATTATCTAGTGGGGGGTTTATCTGGCGGGGGTTTATTTAGTGGTGGGTTTATTTAGTGGTGGGTTTATTAAGTGGGGTTTTATCTAGTGGGGGGTTTATCTAGTGGGGGGTTTATCTGGCGGGGGTTTATTTAGCGGGGGTTTATTTAGTGGGGGTTAATTTAGTGGGGGTTTATCTAGTGGGGGGTTTGTTCAGTTTAAAGTTTCGTTAAGTTGAGAATGAGGGGTTTAATTTAGGTTGTTCTCTGTTACAGCTTATCATAGTGCAAATCATCCATGAACTTAAAGGGAGGCTCTACTTTTGGGAAGAGGTAACAGTCTACTATAATACAACTAAGGTAAGCTAACGGATATCATAATTGAACTCTTGCTTCAGAGCATGACAAGTTAGCGATTAAAATCTCCCAATTATTAAGTCTCACTCCGTTTTACCGCAAGCCTCGCTTTACCATGGCCATTTCCTTCCCCCAAATAGGGCTTAATATGCATAATGTAAACAATCAAAACCCGATTTACCAAAAACCCCGATTTACCGCGGCTTTTTCCTTTCTCCCAAACACCGCGGTAAATCGGGGTATTACTGTAGTGGGGGGGGGGGTATCTAGGGGGGGGGGGGGGTTCAGTTTCCTACAGCTTTGCTTCACGCTTTTATCCATCAGCAGATAGTTAAGCTTGCCTTGGAGCACCAAATTTCATTTGATAAACATTGCGATTGACTACCCAAGTCATTTAAAATTTAATTAAACTGTTCTGAATATTGCACATGATAACCGCCCCATATTGCTTGTTTTGTTTTGTAAGCAGATTTTTAAGTTTAGTTGAGGTTTCTAGCCCGACCCATCATAATGAGTCTAACGCCTCATGTAGCTGTATAACTTTGCCATAATTTTATTATTTCAATATTAAATGCATGTCGTTTGCAAAAATGCCATAGTTGGGCGAGAAAGTTGTGCAGGGTGGCCAAATTATAATATTATGACGGCAAAATACAAACAAGAGTATGCTCGTTGTGAATTATTTAGTGATTTCACCGCAATTTTTCAACTCTAATGCTGATATAATTTCCCATGAGCATAGAAGTTGGCGTAACAAGTAACAACATATCACGATGGCATAGTGTCAAGCAGAGCTATAGTGAACACTTTCTACAAACTTCAGGGCGTTACCATGACGACTAGACTTGTTGTTAAAGTGCACTGACGGGTTTTAAATATTTAACATTAGAAGTGTTTGAAGAACGTCCCGAGCTCTAAACGGCAGTCAGTTTCTATTATTAATAAATACGCTTAGAAACGTCTGATCGTAACTAGAAGTGGAGTTGTAGTGGAGTTATAGAGTTATAGAGCAGGATAACGGTGATATTGTAGATACAACTATTTTAACAAAAAACAATGGTAGATTGTCTCCTGTGTACATCTGTACGTGGATTCGATAACCAAAAGTTGGTACCTTAACAATCTGTCTGAGTTAAATCGTGATAAATCGTAATAAAAGCTGGCCAGTACAATTAACCGCTCACCTGATACAGTAACAGTAGCAGTAGAACTCTCAATAGATCCAGTAAAGTCCTGGAGGGTCACAACGCACTTCCAGATCCCCGCGTCACCAACAGCAGCCGGGAATATTTTCATCAGTGAGGTGTAGACCGAGTTATCAAACGTGTCCTCTATTGTTCTGATGTGGAACCATGAATAAGTCACTAATTGTTGAGGAATACTAAAAAATAGGCCACTAATTGTTGAGAAATACTGCTATACTACTATGTATTATAATGCCAATTAAGTGAATGTCAGTATTTCAAACACCTTAATGAAGGAGCACTAACCCGGCAAATTCGAAGTTGTCAGTGGTTCTGACCCATTTGATGGTCGGGGTAGCAAATGTGGAGACAGTGGAAGGTCCGAACTTGCAGGTGAGGGTACCCTGACCACCCACAATGTAATCTCCTCCCGTCGGGTTCTCAGTTATAGCTGAATGTCACGTGGTTAGTTCTCTAGATAAACAGGTATGTCACGTGGTTAGTTCTCCAGATAAACAGGTATATCACGTGGTTAGTTCTCCAGATAAACAGGTATATCACGTGGTTAGTTCTCCAGATAAACAGGTATATCACTTGGTTAGCTCTCTATATAAACAGGTATATCACGTGGTTAGTTCTCCAGATAAACAGGTATATCACGTGGTTAGTTCTCCAGATAAACATGTATATCACGTGGTTAGTTCTCCAGATAAACAGGTATATCACGTGGTTAGTTCTCCAGATAAACAGGTATATCACGAGGTTAGTTCTCCAGATAAACAGGTATATCACGTGGTTAGTTCTCCAGATAAACAGGTATATCACGTGGTTAGTTCTCCAGATAAACAGGTATATCACGTGGTTAGTTCTCCATATAAACAGGTATATCACGTGGTTAGTTCTCCAGATAAACAGGTATATCACGTGGTTAGTTCTCCAGATAAACAGGTATATCACGTGGTTAGTTCTCTAGATAAACAGGTATATCACGTGGTTAGTTCTCCAGATAAACAGGTATATCACGTGGTTAGTTCTCCAGATAAACAGGTATATCACGTGGTTAGTTCTCCAGATAAACACTAAACAGGTATATCACGTGGTTAGTTCTCCAGATAAACAGGTATAGAAAACATTAAGTATAATAGAGATTAGCCCGTATAGTTCGCTTTATTGAATATGAGATAGGGAAATTACTCACTAATCTGGCTGAGAGTTATCTCAGGGGACTGAACGATGATCTTGGCGATGTCGAGCACTGCGGTGACCTTGTAGGTGGTGATGTCTCCAGCGGAGACCGCAGACCCGAATACGATCTCAGAAGTTGTGACTCCTGTTCCGACGTCATAGACGTTGTTTATCGTCTGAAAATTAGAATAGTTTAGGACACATTTTTTCAAGATGATTTAATGGGCCACCTCGTATAATCTTAAAAGCAAAATCTATCTAAAATTATATAGGAAACTGAGACTATAGTTACTGAAATTATAAATTAAAAATAGTAAAGTGAGACTAGTTACTGGAATTATATAATAGGAAACTGATTTAAAAATCCCATAGTTTCAGCTAAAATTACATCAGTCATATGGGCGCTGTTTTTGAACCACACGATGTTGGTCGCCTCCTCATTAGCCGTTATCTTGGCTGTCAGTGTTAAAGAACTACCCACAAACCCGTACGCGGGTTCTACTGCCGCGTCTGAAAAAACGATTGTGTTATTAAATGATATCCACGTTTCAATTTACAACAGATGAAATCAAAGTTAGAAGATGTTTTGCTAGAACTAAGTATCACAAGATAAAAGGACAATGACTTACGGAAGACAGATAGCGCAGCATCAGTTGTCATCTCCATATGAACTGAACTGACGTAGATTATCTTACACGCGTACGCAGCCTCATCAGCCGTTTCCAGAGTTGATATAACAAGTTTGGAGGTCCAGCTGAGGGTGGCTGAGTCATAAGTTTGGGTTATTGTTGATCTGGGGATGTTAGGATCCGATAAGGCTCCGGTGGTAAGAGCCTTTTTTGCCCAGGTGGGAGCTGGCGTGGTGGTTTTTCCAGTGAATACTGCAGTGAAGGTCACAGATTCTCCTAGGTCCCCCGCAGTGTGGACCGGGTGTGATATTACTCCTGCAGAGGATTTAGATTATTGTCTGCAAACTTATATCGACTCCCCAAAACTCTACATATGTCTGATATCAAATTACTTTTTAGCAATCAGAGAAAAATAAGAAAAATAAAAGATTAAGAATGGATGATAATTGAATTTAAACAATAAAATTACACAAACCTTCTATGAAGACTCTGGTGGTGTCAGAGGTTATGGCTCCAATATCACCGTAGGTAATGACGCACCAATAATAACCTGAGAATAGTACAGTGGTTAACAAGCTAACTTCATTACTTTCCTCGTGAATAACCGTTTTATTTTAACTTGTTATAGACCGTTTTCTCCTTGATTGGTTCAACTGAAAAATTCGTTTTGTTTGACCAGTTAACAATAATGTAAGTTAAGGTTGAATTTCTTACCAGTATCAGAGATAATGACGGAGGATAAAGTGAGACTAGTAGTGGTATAAGCAGCCGTAGGTGTGCTGGCTTGGTTTACAATACCTGGAGAGGGTACTGTGTATTAAGGTTCAGTATTAAGGATTCAAACATGCTCAGCTTTCAACTGTTAACTTCATCTATCAACTTTACTAAAGTACTAACCAACCCATGATATCAACTACTAACTTTATCTATCAACTCCAATATATCACCTGCTAACTCATCACTTACTAACTCATTTCAAAGACTCAAGAAAATAATAATAACAGGCATTAGATAAATTTATACTTTATGAAATAGTTCCAATAAACAAGTTTCTAGTAGTTTTTGTCAGACACTTTGATTAAACTACTAGTCAATTTTGACTAAATAGCGATAAAGTATCTGCAATATCTGCAATATCTGCAATATCTGCAATATCTGCAATATCTGCAATATCTTCAATATCTGCAATATCTGAAATATCTGAAATATCTGCAATATCTGCAATATCTGCAATATCTGAAATATCTGCAATATCTGCAATATCTGCAATATCTGCAATATCTGCAATATCTGCAATGGTAAAGTATGTGTAGTGACTCACCAGAATGTATCCCTTTACCGTCGTGGTACCATATTATTGAATCGTAAGTTGTTGCATCGGGTCCGTTAGTATCTGCATTAAGAGTCAATACGATGTCGCTACCCACAACTCCAACAATATCTGACTGTGTGGACCGCCAACCATCCGCTGAAATGTATCTGAGTTTTAAGAAAAATAAGCTCAGCAAAATACTCATGATGGATTTACAGGGTGTTTCACATAAAAATGTGACCATGTTGAAAAAAGAAACAATTTTTATAAAAGAGCGGTTGCCAAAAAATGTTCATCACACATGACAGTGTCAATATGTGTGGAATAGCCCAACTTACCGTAAACGTTTAAGTTGCCGGATGAAGTGACAGTTTTACCAGCATTGACTACAACACAGGTATACGCTCCGTCGTAGGTAGCGCTATCAACATTTGCTAACACTAGCTCGTTCGTCAAGCTGAATAAGTGATTAAGTAATTAAGTAATTAAGTAATTAAGTAATTAAGTAATTAAGTAATCAAGTAATTAAGTAATTAAGTAATTAAGTAATTAAGTAATTAAGTAATTAAGTAATTAAGTAATTAAATAATTAAATAATTAAGTAATTAAGTAATTAAGTAATTGAGTAATTAAGTAATTAAGTAATTAAGTAATTAAGTAATTAAGTGATTAAGTAATTAAGTAATTAAGTAATTAAGTAATTAAGTAATTAAGTAATTAAGTAAATAAGTAATAAAGTAATTGAGTAATTAAGTAGTTAATGAATTAAGTAATCAAGTAAATAATTAAGTTATTAGGATGCTCTGGTGTTAGTGTTACAAACATTAGCTACTAGCTTACACTAGCGCGTTCGTTAAAATGAGTAGTTAAGAAGCGTCAATATGTTGAATATAGGGAAGCAAAAAGTGACTTATACCGTATCCTCGCCATATTATTATACAAAAACTCGAATGTGCCATCTTAAGGAAAAGAGTTTATAATTACATATAATATATAATATTGTGGAAGAGATATAACAAGATAATAAATTTAAAAAGGAATTTATTGTGATCATCATCACTGAAAAGTGTTTGATGAGGTGATAAGTAGAATTGATTTATGAAATAATTGTCTGGAGAATAAAAGTAGACATAATTATTTATATTATCTGTGGTTTCATATTTAGTAAAGAAAAAGTTTATTAAATTGAACTAGGTCGTTTGGAAAGATAAGTAAATCATTATTGTTCGCTATTTCCAGTCTCACAAGTACCCACAAGATATTGGTAGACAAATTTCATTGACGTTTACCGACTTTCCTGCGCGAGCCTTTCTTATGACGTAGATTCGCACTTTGCGATGATAATTATAATTATTTCCAACGTTTAATAGGCGCGCGTAAACACAAAGTAGGCCTAAAACAGAAAGAAAAGGCTCTCTCCTTACGTTTTGACGCCGTCAGTAGTGGAGGAGCTTGTTTGTGAGCCACCATTTGATCCTTGAGGTGTAGTCCAAGTGATGGTCTGAGCTGTACCGTACGTTATACAGGTAAGGGTAATACTGGTTGCTGCTACTGCTTGTCTGTTAGGTATAGGCGACGCGATATCTGCAAATATTTGAATTATAAACCCCAACATTCAGAACCACAACTTATTACAACCCCTACTAATAGTATAACAGACAGATCCGTCGAAAAAAACCCCGATTTACCGATGATCTTCTGATGATTTCGCATATTTCCAATATTGGAAATATACGAGATCATCATGATGATCTCGTATATATATTTCAGATTGTTTCCGATGATCTTCTGCAGAAGATCATCGGAAACAATCTGAAATATTCTGGAACGACTTGAAATAGATCTATCAGTTGGCACATAGGAATAATGACTGCCTAGTTAGGGTGATATGGGACATTGTAAAGTCAGAAGACACCTAGTGGGACTCAAAAATGTCAAAACTCCTTTGCAAGCTCGTTGTGTGGGTAAATCGATTTTCCGTATCCGCGGGACTGGCGTTTTTTTTCAAGTAAGTAGATTTACATTTCCGAATAAGAAATGATATCACTGATGAGAACGCGAAAAACAAGGAAAGCTTCAAATTAAGGTTTGTGAGCATCCCAATGCTTTTTGGATAAATTATAAAGTTTGATAAATATAAATAACAACTACTGAAAAGGTAAAGTAAACACACAAACTTACAGACAGCGACGACTTGTTTTTCTGAAGACTCCAGGACTCCGATGTTACTGTAGGTAGCGAAACACTTGTACTTTGCAGTGTCAGTACTTGCCAGGGGAGATAGAGTCAACACACTGTCACGTGTTGTTCCGTATGAGTCAGAGATCACACCTGTTTTAAAAGTTGTTTAACTCAAACACAAGGAAACATTTTGTAATCAATGACTTAAGTGTCCCAACGAAGTCAACTTGGTATGATTGTTCTAGTTCTAAATATATTGACTATTAGACCAGAGTCTCCTGCAAACAATTTCTTAATCTCACACCACCTGAAATGACGTCACACCACCTGACATGACGTCACACCACCTGACATGACGTCACACCACCTGACATGACGTCACACCACCTGACATGACGTCACACCACCTGACATGACATCACACCACCTGACAACTCACCTGATGTAACTAAGGTTCCATCTCTCTCCCACTCGAAGGTAAGTATAGCGCTAAGAGGGGCTGGCATGGTTGCTGTACACGTTAACTGAATAGATACTCCTAGGATATCTACTACTTGTGCCGTGTCGTATGTGAGAGCTGAAGTAGAGTGTCAGTTAGCTGAAATGCTTTATTAGAAACATATTAATGAGGAAGCAATGAGACTACTAATCTTACAACAAGTTACTTCTAGCACTGATCAGTGCAACATTATAAACTAAGAGACAATAAACTTACTCAGAACATTGAGGGTAGCAGTTGAGATGGCACTTTCAGTTCTGGAGGCAATAACAGCAGAACAAGCGTAGATACCTGCGCTACTGGAGGTCACTCCAGATAATGTCTGCACACACTCGTACGTGTTAGCAGCAGTAGTGTGAGCACTGAGAGAGGTTAAATAAGACCCTGAATTTCAAGTTCCTGGCAATTACCAGCAGTGCGTGATTCTAAAGAATTAGAGTGCCTAAATTAACTGTCATTAAGATTATTGACATACCTAAACGAGGCCCCGCCGGAATTGGGAATGGCAATGCCTCCTTCGGTCCAAGAGCATTTAGACGGATCGTTTAAGGTAAGAGTATCACCAGTAACTACAGTACAAGTCAGCTGGACGTTAGATCCAGCTGTGAAGTAGCCGCTCTGTCCAATTGTTGTTGTCACCTCTGTGAGAAGATTCATTAGTAACCATTAGTAACCATTAGTAACCATTAGTAACCATTAGTAACCATAAGTTATCAATAGTAATCGTTAGTAACCATTGGTAATCATTTGTAACCAAGGTTTAAAAGACAATATGTAAAATCACTTACTACTACAACTAGTAGGTGTGGTGCTGCAGGCTTCCGTTTTAGTACTCTGACCATCGATATAGTACTCATTCTGGCAGAATGTGGTAATTGTGGTACCAGTTGCCACGTTAGTTCCAGCAAGTGGATACATACTGCTCGAGAAGGTTGCAGTGGGGACCGTGCATATGGCTGAAAAGGGAGGTCACGTGTTGTTTTACTATAATGCAGCAGAAATATGGTGATTTAGTTATTAAAGAAAAGTCATTTGTGGACAATACTGAATAATTAGTAATGAACCTAAACAAATACCCTGAACCAGTCGATATAACTAACCTATGCAGTCACTGGAGGCGGTGGAGCCGATACTCATTGTGCTGGTACCACCTCCACAGGCAGTACAGGAGGATTGACTGACTGTGTCTGTGTAGGTACCAATCGGACAGTCAATACAGTCTGAGGTGCCGATGTAGGTTCCAGCTGAGCACTCCTCTGCGAGAACACGTGGTGTTAATTAGAGAACACGTGGTGTTAAAGAAAGGATAAACATCAGTATTATGCGTAGAAACTGAGATACTTGATTATTAGTTTGGCGACGTAAAACAATGAGAAAGAGAAGAAGGCATACTTACTACATAACCCGTCTACTTCTATAAGTGGGGAGGCACACTCCACTGTAGATTCATAGTTCGCGTCTGAGGCTCCGTCCAAATCTGCAAATGCGACAGTTAGTGATTATCAACAAGCGATTCAATTACCATATCAACTGATTATCAACAAGCGATTGATAAATTTAACCATATCAATTGATATCGAGGCGCTAATTTACATACTCACCAGTTCTTCGATGAATATTTATTATTTATTATTTTGGTAAGTTGTGAATTAATTGGTTTAGCAAATTTACGAGAAAAACTAAAGTTTATTGGAATACTATGTTTGAAAAAGAAAAACGCAGATTGCAGTATATGACAGTGTCTCTTGCATTATATTGATTTAAAACCAGCACTTACTAATACTAAAGGACGTCGATTCTTTGGCGAGTGTTCCCAATAAAGTCAGCAGGATATAGATCCTCATTTAATTCCGAAAAGTTTCTTTTCCACTAATCTTATCTATGAAGAAGCTTATTTTACAGTTTTTTAAAACAAGTTTGAAATATCAAAATCTAACAGATAACAAGTTTAATTCAGATTATAATATTAATAAACGGATTTGAATCACAAACTAAATGTATAGCGGCAAACTCGAACGAATATCGGAAGATAAAAGCAATCAAATTATTTTTAAAAACGTTCAACTTCAAGCTTCACAGAATGTTTCACAAGCTCAACTGGTGCTGCTTAATAGCAAGCACGATACGAACCAATCACGTGACAGGAAAGAAGCTGCATTATTAATATTGTACTGGTACTCCTAAAGAACGGGTCCAATGATTGATAAGAGCGATGGACAGATACAATTGATTGACATGCAATAGATCAATATTCCGACTTTGTGGAAGGATAAGAGCTGCCGTCATTTTATATCTTCCGAAATTTTTCTTCTATAACGTAGAGAATGTATGATAAACAATTACTGCCTAGTGGAATACCTACATGCATGGTGAAATTAATGATTTACTTGATCAGTTCTGCGCCAAGCGCCAATAATAATATAATTCAGAATATCTCCCAAATAACTTTGCGCAGTTATACTTATATTAGGAAAGTATGCGACATTTGTGCGCGCAGGCACGTATGTAGGCAGCTAGGCACGACGGTTCTAAGCTACCATATACCTACACTTTAGCGGCCCTCCTGTGACTTGTGTCTAACATATTAAAACGTATGATTTTAAATATAGAATATATCTAAATTTATAAATTTTAAATATCTAATAGGTTTAAACAGAAAATATTTAAAAGCGGGACATATATTTATAATACGTCAAATGGTGGCTAAGAATGGTACTGATTGTAAATTTTAAGCGGAAGGATGAAAGTGGCACTGTGTTGTCATATAAGCAACAATTTCACGGTTGTTTTCTTTAAGGTTTAGGTAATGAATGTAGCTATGACCTGCGAGAATATCCAGTCAGGAAAATATTTTAACACCATTTAATAATAATATAATAAAAAGGCATAAAGATGGGCTGGTTCACAGTAATTTTTTAGCAAGAAATGAAGCTAGTAGTGTTTGACCGGACTGTAGCTAGGTAGATCTAACAAGTAACTTTTTTGAGATGCACTGTAGTTCGACACGCACAATTACTAAAAATTGTGAAAACTTATTGATGATATTGATAATTATATTGGATTCTCAGTCCAGAGAACTGTTAAAACCGCTGTAGAAAATACTGTTCAAGCTGAGATTAAGTCTTACAGTGCTGCATGCTGTGTCAAACATTCCCCCAGGGCCCAGCTCTGCCTCCACCTTCACGGCAGAGAACTTGAAGAAAGTAGTTAAATGCTTTATTTTATTTTATTTCATTTCAAATACCTTGCTTCAGTCTTTGAATGGAAGCGGAGCCTTAAAAACACAAAATCAGGAAAATAAATCTAAAAGATGAGCGTCGTGATAGATCAAGATGACCATTTCAATTTGTAGAATTTGTTCAATCAGGAGGAAGGAAAATATTTTCAATATTTCACTCACTTTGCATTCTGATTTAATATAATAATTTTTAGTTGCTGATTTCATTACAAACCGTATGAAGATTAATGTTGTGCAAGTTAAGCCGGAAACCAAGAATAGTAACGGACGCAATCGTGATATAGTGCTACCGTCGGGTATAAATTGGCACTTTTTGACAACTTAGGAACGAAATTAATTGGGTGTGGAGGCAAATAATTCAAATTAAAAAGAGCTCCATCCAGCACATTTCAATAATTCGATACTGGAAAAGCAAACATATGTGACCAAACGTAGAGCAAACATGTTGAAAAATATGATGGATATAAAACGCAATTTCGTTAACTCCAACCTCTCTCCTATATTGGCTTTTTAAAAACCACAACTTATCATTTTCAGTTGGCTATCAAACCAGTTTAAAAGCTTTAAATCTCGGAGCGAACGTGCAATCAAGCAACGTCACAGAGGAAGAGCTAGACTCGGTGAATGGAATTTTTAAAAAGCGTCATTATTACTTGAGAAGGAGTTTGGATTTAACTGACAAAAATGATGTGAGAACTGTTAAAAACGTGCGGAACATGCAGGCCTTACAGAGAGTGACGTAGCAGGCACCAGCTGAGGGGGCGACGAAAAAGTAGTGTCCGCAAATGTGGATCCAGTTTCTCATTGTGAGTGGCCGAGTTGCTTACAAGAAGAGTCACAGAGACTGTATCCAAATCGGGACGTCACAGTGGACACCACATGGTCCTCACGTACGAAGTGATCAGTAGAGCTGCTTGTTCCGACCGTCTAGCTTTAAGATAATATCTATGAATGTGGTATCTACGAATCAAAAATAGTTATCACATCTTCGACCAGCAGCGGTTTGATGAATTTTAACAAATGATGATATCTTCAGTATAAGAGCAATTTAGTTAAACTGGGCGTTTTAAGCCGCCTACTTGAACACTGAGACAAAAATAAATGTCTATGTTACCTACTGAAGGAAATTTGGAAAACTATAAAGAGGAACTGTGAACCCTGAAGCGGGATAGGGATATGTGGAGGGGGTTAGCTGGCCTAGATCGGACTTAGTTCCGACCTAATAGTATTAGTAGTAGTCCTAAAATAGGAAAACATGAAGTCTGGTAAAATTATGAAAACGTCTCCCATCAAACTAGCTAAAAAATTACCAACGTCTACAATCAAATGAATATCTATTGTTTGTCAATTTGTACATGAACTTTACAAACGCGATTAAAAAAGCAAAACTTCATGCGTCACAGCGCCAGGGTTCCCTTAAAAATTCCCGGTCTCACAATCTACAACAACCCTGTCAAATTGCTAGATCAACCAACCGTCACCTTGACCTGAACACTTCAAGTTTGACTCTTACAAAAACTTGCCGCTCTGGTAGTTTGCTAAGAAACATGCAGCACGACACTCCAACCTAGGCTCCATGTGACCAGACTCTCGTATCCTAAAATGTGGAATGCACTAGAAACTTTGTCAGCACTAGATATGCTTGTTGACTGTTGAGCTGTTAGATAAACAATGCTGTTTGTTCACCTAATCACTTCATTGTGCAGTTACCGTGACGATGAGGCTTTGTCAGCAGGGCACGTGACCTAGGTAGCGGGGAGGATCAGAGAGAGTTCACAAGCATAACAATGTTATAATGTTTAGAGAAGGGCTCGACAAGGATACTGCTATACTGCTTGATGGTGATCAGTGTCCTAGATATCAACAGGACCACGTGAACCGGTGAACTAGCTCTATTTGTCACGTTATCAGGCTATTTGTCAACAAAGCTGCTTTACAAGTGAAATCAGCACGTTTTGAGACCGGTGAGATAACTATCTAGTTAGTTTTAGAACGTGACAGCGATTCTACTTCTAGTATCCTGACTATATCAAAGGTAATGCTGTGGATTGTGAAAGAGGGCAGTTGCAGTGAGTACCGATAGATTCTAGTATCCTGACTATATCAAAGGTAATGTGTGGCAACTAACCAACTAAGTGAGCGGACAGTTTAGTTTTGTGATCACACTAAATGTTAAATATGAAGGTGGAGCTGATGAGCCCCAGTACTGTGCCAACTTCTCCCGGTTGTCAACCTTGCGAGGGCTCCCTGCACCGTTGTTGACTGTCAAGAGTCTGTATGTTGACACTATATGTGGGAAAAGAGAGCTATACTTATAGGCATGCAAAAGAATCTACCTAGTTCATCTTTAAATGCAAGTTCAATGTTCATTGTTAATTATACCTACCTTATTAATTATAGAGCCATACTTTTTAGGATATTATACTTGAGTTGGCTTGTTAAATAACAACCGAATAGAGATACAGAAAAAAGGAACTAAAGTGACAAAATAGTCGGTCATGCAGCAAATATCATAAATAATCCCCCACGTGACGTGAGTCCCCCCACGCGATGTTGTTTTAGGGCGTTAGTGCCAAATGGGACATCCAACAACAACAACAACATAAGCCGCGTCACACATGGTCATCAAAGGGATCGACCGGGGGAGTTTTAAAGAAGGTGCGATCTCAGTGTGTCTACTTGTCGACTGTTAGCATTATGGTGAGAAAATGTGATTACACATGTTACACATGCCAACATGCCATTAGACATTTCAATATGCAATGTTTCGCTGTATTAATTGGCCATGGAACTAGAGGGTTACCTGTTCCATGACCGTATTAATTTGCACGCAGTAATCGATACGCTTATTACTATTAATTGGTGGTGTCGGGCAAGATCAGGACTGCGGCCACACGAGTTTTAAAAGGATACACAAACTTAGTGTAACAACCGATGTCCTGCAATTCTATTTTCTAGTTGAGCTCTGCACTAGTTGCGTCCTTGGCAACTCCAGCTCCCCTCCCAGCCCCTGCCCCTGCCCCTGGTCAGAGTGATAATAGTGCAAAGGTTGAGAGCAATGGAGGAAGACAACGCTCTAGGTGCAATGGTGCAAATTTCGGCCATCGTATTTGCCCCTAGGGCCACCAGCAGCTATCATAGCATGTAGCTACTAACTTATTATGTAAATTAACTTATTTTATCATTTCTATTTATCTCTTTTAATCATCGTTGGACTGGAGAAAAGTGCCGGGACCAGGGTTAAGCCGAGACCCGGATTAAGACCGGTCTTCCGGAATTTCTTTCCCCGGCCTCCGGTCGGCATCCAACTTTTGAGTGCGCAATGTTGCAGCTTCTCTGACAGCTTCTCTGAATCTCCACTGCCTCCACATGGCAAAAGGCCTCCTTCTACAGGCCTTTCTCTTTGACTGCAGCATCATGAGCAAAAAGGTGTGAGTTTAGAGTGAACACCACATTATGGGCCATATGACTCTATTATCATCTATAAAAAGTTCACAAACGTTATATTAAGCCTAAATATTTAAACCCGTCAAAAACCAGGGCAGTGAAATAGATATCTGATAAACAATAGTTCTTGAAATCGGAACCCGAACATGACTCAACTGCAGCTCCTCAAAAAAATCGTTAATAAATGTGCAGCGTA